ATCGTGGCCAATGAAGTTGAGAGCACCAAAAGCCTTGGAACGGCATGGGAATTCAGACAAACCCACAGCACGGATCGGCAGGATCTGTTTTCCAAGTAAACATGGGTTGCCCGGATATATGGCGACGCTACATACCCATTCTGTTTCCGACTTCTTGATTGTGCTCACATGAATCTTGTGAGGCGATCGGCATTTCGGTGCGATTCACGAATAACCACTTTATTAATGCACTTGACACAACTCCCTCCCAGAAAAGCGTGAAGAAAGAATAAGAAGCTCCATGGAAAAAACGAAGTGTCGGATGGTGGGGCCGGGGATTCCAACGTTTGGTCACCCGAAATCGAGGTGCCGGCGTGGATAGGTTGACGAAACTTCAGCAAGATTTCTCCAAGACCTGCAATTTACATTGAACCTGTTTTTTGGAAGGAAATAGATTGAGTCGGGGGGACGGCTCCGGCTTGACAACAAAACAAAGCAGGCGGCTCGGGCATTGATTCAGACGCAATCTTTATCAGATTGCAGTTTTCGAAGGCGTGATTAAAGCCCGGGGCGGAAAACGATTCCCGCCACTTCGATTTGACGCCAAACACGGATATTGGCGGCTGGGCGGTTCGAAGCGTTGGGTATCATGATATTGATCGAACGCTGCTTACCTATATCTTTGGGGATTTGTGGGATAATGGATGAAGCGAGAACAGTAGTTGCAAGACCGTCACGTATTCGGCCCGGTCATTCCTCCCGACCCCCAGATTATTACCACAGATAGCAGTGATTAACGATCCACGGATCCTGGTTGTTTCAACCCACAATCGACTGGTTCAGGAAGACGCTTTTTCCACATGAAACAAACGATCTGTGGGAACTTACGCTCGATTTCCTGAAACCGAGATCCAAGAGTTCCACTAGTAACAGGTCATCTAATCTTCGCAATGGAGTCCCTTATGAGTATAGTTTACATTCGATTCTGAGCCTGTTGTTTTTTTTAGAAGGATAGTCGCGAGTGGTCAATCAGAAAGCATTGAGGCCGCCAAAAGAACATTGCGGAAACATTTGCACAGCAACAATTGAGGAGGTCGAAAAACTGTCAAACAAGAACAGATGGCCGGATTACAGTTCTATTTCGCCTATACGTTCGTTGGTATGATTGGCGGTGATGGCTTGGTCCCAACGATTAGAAAAAAAAAAAAAAAAACTGCGAAACCAGCGTTGGTGTGTTTGAATACCTCTGCGCGATCCGGTCAGCCGCGGGAAGTTGAGTTTCGGTCTAAAGGGATCACATCGAGCAACTCGTGCCGCAACAGATGCCGTCAAGAACGGATGATGCGGCTTTGAAGCGATCAGAGCAGTGCCACGTGGGAGGGGGAGTTAATCCACGTCTCTCGGGGCGTGAACATTAAAGAGGGACCGACACATACGCACTGAAAGGGGGAGGGTGGGCCCAATATAGAGAGTTGGAAACGTCTCTCATGCGTAAGGCACTTGACCTATGTGCGCCAATGTGCGTCGGTTGGGCGTCCTGATTGAGAAATTGACGTGGATGTCTTCTTCCGTGAAAATGCTGAAGATATGTACGCGCTTGGCAGCCAAGGCATCAATGTTACCGATGACTTGGGGATAGACTTTCGCGTCATAACAAGCCAAGGGTCTGAGCGGATTATCGAGGCAGCCTTTGCTCACGCGCAACGTACCGGCAGAACTAAGGTAACAGTTGTCACAAAAGCAAATATTGTTAAAACAACCGATGGCAAGTTTCTCGACTTTGGCCGCCAAGTTGCGCAACGGTATCCGGACATTGAATGGGATAGTTGGTACATCGACATTATGACGCAGCACTGATAAATCCAGCGCGTCAACAGGATTTTCAGGTGCTTGTGCTTCCTAACCTCTACGGCGATATCTTGACTGACGAGGCAGCCCAGATCCAGGGTGGCGTTGGAACCGCAGGTAGCGCGAATATCGGCAAACAGTCTGCCATGTTCGAGGCAATTCATGGGAGTGCTCCGCGGATGGTGCAAGAAGGGAGAGCGCAGTACGCTGACCCAAGCTCCCTCATCAGGGCGGGTGCCATGATGCTTGAGCATATCGGATTCGACGAACTCGGTCAAAAACTGCACAAAGCCCTCGACATCTGCGGACAGTACGAGCGCAAGGTCGTTATGACCGGACGCAGTACTGGTGCAACCAGCGAGGCATTCGGCGACTACATCATGGAGACAGTCGAGAATGCCAACGTCGAGGCGCGGTGGGAAGAATATGTGAACGCAGAAGCGTGATTCGGCTGATGTGAATCTCTTTTCCTTCCACATTATCCATAAAACTGTTTAATTTGTAATCTATCATAGGGAAAACAAATGGCTCGAAAAAAAATTAGTGTGATTGGTGCTGGAAACGTCGGCGCGACCGCCGCACTGTTCATTGCACAAAAGCAGCTCGGTGATGTCGTGATGGTGGATATCATTGATGGTGTCCCACAAGGAAAAAGTTTGGATATGGCACAGGCATCACCCGTTGAAATGTTCGATGCAAGTGTCACAGGTTCAACAAGTTACGAAGAGACAGCGGGATCCGATGTGGTGATTATTACTTCTGGATCACCCCGCAAGCCGGGGATGACCCGCGAAGACCTATTGCAAACAAACGCGAATATCGTTGGTAGCGTCACGGAAAACGTTGTGAAACACTCGCCGGATTGCATCATTGTGATGTTGACCAACCCGTTGGACATCATGACCTACCATGGGTGGAAGGTTTCGGGATTCCCGTCCAATCGAGTGGTTGGACAGGCGGGTGTACTCGATTCAGCACGCTTCCGTTACTTCATCTCCCTTGAACTGGGTGTGTCCGTTGAAGACATCAGCGCCCTCGTGATGGGGGGACACGGAGATACGATGGTGCCCCTGCCACGTTACACAACGGTCGGCGGAATCCCAATTCCGCAACTATATCTGCTGACGAATTGAGGAAATGGCACAACGCACACGAGATGGCGGCGCGGAAGTGGTTGATCTGCTGAAAACGAGTGGTTACTACGCAGCGGGTGCCTCGCTTGCTCAGATGGCGGAGGCAATTATCCGCGACAAAAAGCGCCTCATCCCCTGTGCGGCGCACCTGACCGGACAGTTCGGTATTGACGACCTATACATCGGTGTCCCAATTAAATTGGGGGCAGATGGCGTTGAAGAAATTATCGAAGTTGAATTGACCGACGATGAGATCCAAGCGTTGCAGACATCGGCTCAGACGTATCGGGAAGGGATTGAGTTGCTCGGTTACTAACACCGATACTCACGCCGGAAGGTGTGCGTTAGAGTTGTTGATGCGGACTGTACAAAGCCTCCATTCAAGTTTGTTAACCAAAAGGAGAGCAAATTGAAGATCGCATATTTCGATTGTTTCTCAGGTATCAGTGGAGATATGGTACTTGGTGCCTTGGTCGATGCAGGCGTCGATCCAGACGCACTGAATACAGAGTTGGCAAAGTTGAAGTTGGACGAATTTACGCTGCGTTTCGAGAAAGCCACGAAACACAGCATCAGCGGCACACGGGCAATCGTGGAAACCGCTGATCCAACTGCTGAGGATTCACACGGGCACAACGATTCTCCGGAGACACATCACCATCACACCCACGACCACGAACATGATCACGAACACCATGATCACTCGCACACGCATGGACCAAGCCGCCATCTCTCCGATATTTTTGCTATTCTGGACAGTAGCGACCTTGAGGAAGTAATCATTGATCGTGCAAAGCGGATCTTTGATCGACTAGCAGCAGCGGAGGCGAAAGTCCACAACACCTCCAAAGATCAGGTGCACCTGCACGAAGTCAGCGGTATTGATGCGATTGTGGACATAGTCGGAGCCGTCGTTGGCTTACACCTTCTAGAGGTTGATGAGATCCACGCCTCTCCGTTATCACTCGGAGGCGGCTTCGTTCGGTGCGCCCACGGACTCATGCCTGTCCCTGCACCCGGAACGATGGAGTTGCTATGCGGTGTGCCCGTCCGACAGACCGAAATCCGAAAAGAGCTAGTGACACCCACCGGCGCAGCCATTATCACGACGCTTGCGGATGGATTCGGTACAATGCCAGAGATGACCATCAACCAAATCGGCTATGGCGCCGGCACACGCAACCTTGAGGAACAACCGAACCTTTTACGGCTATGTGTCGGTAAAAAAAAACTATCGAGCATGATCAGGTCTGCGTAATTGAAACCAACCTCGACGATATGTCGCCAGAGATCGCGGGCTACCTGATGGAGCAACTATTTGAGCGAGGTGCCCTCGACGTTTTCCTGACGCCGATATTCATGAAGAAAGGGCGTCCGGCGACAAAGCTGAGTGTCCTGTGTACACCTACCCTCCGTGATACCCTGAACGAAATGCTTCTCGTAGAAACCACCACGTTTGGCGTCAGATGCTACACCGCTGAACGATCAAAACTCACCCGTGATTTTGTTGACATCCAAACGCGGTGGGGAACTGTTAGTGCGAAGTGCGGATATTTGGAGGGTCAGTTAATTAAAACAGTCCCCGAATACGAAGATTGCAAGCGGCTTGCCGAGCAACATGGTGTCCCACTCAGGAAGATCTATGAAGAAGCAATCCGACAGATGGGCGAATGAGCAAATCTCTGAGTCAAGCGTTAGTGAGCCTGCGAACCTTTAACGATCACCCAAACTCTCAAAAACACCCGCCACCGATGAATACTGCGCGAACTTGACGATGACGCCTAACAAAACGAGCGGCACCGCAATAAGCGCGATGAGTATGAGAATCCCCCAGATCCACGTCTTCTTGCCTTTGTCGGTTTTGGAAATCTCCGCCAATCTCGAAATGAGCACTCCCGCCCCAATCATCATTATCACAATAAAACCGAACACCAACGCAACCATAACTCTCCCTTTCTAGATAGGGAATATCTGAGACAGTTTATCTTTAGGTAATGCGTAATACATGAAGCAACAATCTTACGCATTACTCGTTACGCATTAATCTTCCACTCGGTGTGGTTTGAGGATTAAATCATCGTATTCCGCTGGATCGACAAACGCTTCGACAATGACAGGTGCGTTCATGTCAAACGCCTTGATCAGTGCAGACCGATACGTCTCTTCATCCTTTGCGACGAGGACTGGAACGCCAAAATAGGTATGGGCGGGGTTATAGGCATCCCCGAAAAGGCGCGTGCCGTATTGGGGGAAGCCTTTCCGTTCCTGCTTAATCTTGATTAACTGGAGATTCTGATCCGTCAGTATCACAAAAACGACGGGGGTTCCTAAATTGATGGCGGTTGCCATCTCTCCTGCCATCATCAAAAACCCGCCATCGCCGGTCACGCAGGCGACCTGCCGATCCGGACAGCACAGCTTGGCAGCAATCGCCGACGGAATCCCAAATCCCATTGACGATCCCCCGTTTGTCATGATTTGATTGCCCCAACGATAGGTCTTCCAGAGTTGCCCGATGAGGTGGGTATGCGCTCCGACATCGCACGTCATAATCCCGTCGTCAGGGAGCACCTCCCGCAAGATGTTTCAAGGCATGGTGCGGTGAGAAATTTGGCACATCGGGTGAGAGGTTGGCAAACAACCTCTTCTTGCGATCCTGGAGTTCCTCAACACACCAGTCGTAGTCAAATCTTGGGAAGCGCAGCATCGCCTCAAGCGTTTGGCGGATATCACCGATAACCTCACAGACCTCGTAACTGGGATCAATATCGGCAGCAACGGTATCAATATGAATGATCGGGGCGTTTGGCAACCACTCCTCGTAGTTGAATTCCACCACATCGTAGCCGATACCGATGACCAGATCAGCTTCGCCGTGTGTTTTCGCAACCTGATCGGAGAGGGCGTGGAATAGGACACCGGCGTAGTACGGACTTTCTTCAGAAACTATTCCCTTCGCCATCGGTGTGAGGATAACAGGGATTCCCTGCTTCTCCACAAATTGGTTCACGATTGCTTGGGCATCAGCGCGCGTCACACTCAAACCCAACGCGATAATCGGCTTTTTGGCGGATCTCATCAGCTGCTCTACCTGCTGTATTGATTCAACGGTAGGCGCAATGGCTTGGCGTTGATGACCGATTGCGTCGCTGATAGCACCCTCACAATCTGGGACAGGCGTTTCTCCAAGTTCTGCCGGGATGCCGAGATGGACAGGACCCGGAACCTCTTGACAAGCAATATCGACAGCTTTGACTACTGTTTCGCACAGGTTGTCCACGGAAAGCTCCGCAGTCCATTTCGAGATCGGTTCAAACAGTGCCTGATGATCGATTTTCATCTGAGTCACCCGCGTCCGCATCGCCGTTGGAACCTGCGAGGTCAAGGCAAGTACCGGAGAGCGATCCAATAGCGCGTTTGCGATTCCTGTGCTCAGGTTCGTGGCACCGGGTCCAAAAGTGCCGTAACACACGCCCGGTTTGCCTGTCAACCGGGCGCAAACATCAGCCATGAACCCCGCAGATGCCTCATTGCTAACCAACACAAACTCTACATTGCTCCGACGCATTGCTTCCATGAACGGTGTCCAAGGACCGCTTGGAATGCCAAAAATGTATCGGATACCAAAATCATCCAACATCTGGATGAATGTTTCCGCGAATGTCTTCAACGTCACCGATCTCCTTCCTTTGATCTTTTTTCTATCCTATCACACTGTCGCTAGAACGTCAACGAATTCCCTCCATTTTTGATTGCACGGTAGCAGTCATGCGTGGTATTATAACTGACGGTTTGCTAACATAAAATGGAGGGGAACGATGCGCTTTGAAAACCGGGTTGCTTTTATAACAGGCGGTGGCGGTCCGCTTGGGATCGGCAGGGCAGCGTGTCTGGCATTTGCACGCGAAGGCGCAGCCATTGTCGTTGCAGGTGGACGGATGGCGGATGCGGTTGCCGCAGAGGTTCAGAACGAAGGTGGTCGGGCAATCGCCATACCGCTAGATGTGACCGTTCCTGAACAGGTACAAGCGGCTGTTGACACCACCGTTGAAACATTCGGGCGATTGGACATCCTGTTCAATAATGCAGGAATTCTGGGCAGGAGTAAGTTATTTGAAGTAACGGCTGAAGATTTCGATCGTGTCATGGCTGTCAACGTTAAAGGGTGTCTGTTGTGCGCTCAAGCTGCAGCGAAGGTAATGCGCGAGCAGGGGATTCATGGACGCATTATCAATAACTCGTCAATCTATGCAGAAGAATCACACGAAGGTGCCCTCAGTTACTGTGTCAGCAAAGCAGCGTTGAACCGATTGACCCGTAGCCTCGCCCTTGAATTGCGTCCCGATGGGATCACCGTCAATGCAATTGCCCCCGGCGGCGGTGCACCCACAGGAATCAATTCCCCACAGGATCTGCCACAGGATGACTCCTTGCCAGATCTGCTTCCCGCTTCAGCCGACGCACCTCCGCTGGATCGGCGCGCAACTGTATGGGACTATATCGGCGCGGTACTATTCCTCGCATCCGATGAGGCGGCTTATATAAGCGGTGATATCATGACAATTGACGGCGGTGCGGTCGCCCGTCGATGAGCGGCGGCTAGGTGACGGACGAAAACTCAGAAGGAGAGAAGAAGTATTATCTGTGATTGAATTTATTAAAGCCCACTGGCTGCTGTTTTTCCTAATTCTACCTATAATCGTCATTGTCACGACTTTTGCGACGTTTGCGAGTATTTCGATGCTGCTTATTTCGCTACCGTCGGACTATTTCTCTCGGAAGAAACGGGTGAGTCGTATAAAGAATCCCGTTTTACGTCTGTTGCTGCGCCTCGTGCAAAATGTGTGCGGTGCAGTCTTTTTGATTGCTGGATTCATCATGTTATTTACGCCGGGACCGGGGATTCTGAGCGTGCTTGTGAGCATCATCCTTTGCGATTTCCCCGGTAAGCGAAGGGTAGAACGCAAGATCGTAGCGCGCCCACGTGTGCTATCTATGATAAATCGGATTCGAGCACGGTACAACCGTCCGCTGCTCATATTGGATGATTAGCCAAGAATTTATGCTTTTTTGCCGAAAAAAGACTTGACACCTTTCTCAAAATGTGAAATAATACTTTGTTGAGAAATTATGGGCTGAAAGTGAGCCCATTCTTTTTTGGCTTGAGTATGTGAAACATTTCACAACCTACATTCAATAACTAATTTTTGGCTGAAAATGCCGCACAACTTAAAAAATGTTGACTGATTACTTACCCATACTTTTTCTACTCGTTTTTGCCATCGGCTTTGCGGGAGTGAACCTCGCCTTGACCCACTTGATTGGGCCAAAGAAATCGACGCAATCCAAACTCTCCGTTTACGAATCTGGCGTCCAACCTGTCGGAGACACTCGGCAAAGGATTTCCATCCGCTTTGGTCTCGTTGCGATGCTCTTTATCATTTTTGATATTGAAGTCGTTTTCCTCTATCCATGGGCAATTGTCTTTAAGAAATTCATAGAGAACAGCGGCTATTTTATCCTTGTCGAAATGCTGGTCTTCATCGGTATTCTCTTTTTAGGTTACATCTATGCTTGGAAGAAAGGCGGTCTATCGTGGGATTAGAAAGTCAACTTGGAGATAACATATTCACCACCACTATTGATAAGATTGTGAACTGGGGGCGAAAAAACTCCCTCTGGCCAATGCCCTTCGGCACTGCCTGTTGTGCCATTGAAATGATGGCGACCCTAGCGTCGAAATTCGACCTCTCACGTTTCGGCGCAGAAGCGATTCGATTTTCGCCGCGCCAATCCGATTTGTTGATTGTTTCGGGACGCATCTCCATTAAAATGATGCCGGTTCTGAAAAAAATCTACGACCAGATGCCCGACCCAAAATGGGTCATCTCAATGGGAGCATGTGCCTCGACAGGCGGCGTTTTTGATACCTATACCTTAGTACAAGGCGTGGATGGGTTTATCCCTGTTGACATTTACCTCCCCGGCTGCCCACCGCGTCCTGAAGATCTCATCGACGCTGTAATACAGATTCAACGGATCGTGGAACAAGAAAGTGTCTCCCCTAAAAGGCGGAGTGGAGCGATTGCTAGCTAACTCGACCTAGAGGACTAAACTCAATGAGTGAAGAGCAGGAAGTAACTGCTGAAGAACAACAACCACTTGTGGTTCAAAAAGTTCAAGAACAATACCCCGATGCGATTCTTGACGTTTCTGACGCACGAGGCGAACTGACAATTACGGTGCGTAAAGATGCCATCTATGAGTTGATGGCGTTCTTGAAAAACGACTCGGAACTCGCATATAATTTTCTTGCTGATGTCACAGCGGTTGATTATTCTTTGATGGAAGATGTTCTGATGAAATACGACTACGCACGGTTCACTGTCGTCTACCATCTGCTTTCAACAGAAAAGAAAGAACGTTTGCGTGTCAAGGTTCCCGTCCATGAAAAAGAACTCAGCATCCCATCAATGACATCAATCTGGAAGGTGGCGAATTGGCTAGAGCGCGAAACATACGATATGTTCGGGATCACCTTTGAGGAGCATCCAGATCTCCGCCGAATCCTGATGCCCGATGATTATGAAGGGCACCCACTTCGTAAGGATTATCCCCTGCGTGGTCGGGGGGAACGTGAGACTTTTAACTTTGAAGAACAGAATGTGTAATACCCTTTAGGCTTGCCTGTCAATTATCAGCAGACAATCCCGACTCTCCACTGGAGAAAAAGAGATGCGAAAAGATCCAAATCGAGTGTCTGGCGAACCGATGACGTTGAATTTCGGTCCCCAGCATCCGGCAACTCACGGCACACTTAGAATTGTCGTAGAACTTGATGGCGAAACCGTCCTGAAAGCAACGCCCCATCTCGGTTACCTGCATACTGGTTTCGAGAAGCTAGGAGAGCACCACGACTATAACCAGTATATTGTTGTAACTGACCGGATGAACTATCTCTCACCGTTGTCTAACAACTTCGGTTATGTACTCGCTGTGGAGAAGCTGATGGATATCCAAGTCCCGGAGCGTTGTGAATACGTTCGCGTGATTCTTGCTGAACTCTCCCGCATCGCAGATCACATGATTTGGCTCGGTATGGGAGCATTAGACCTTGGGGCATTCACAGTCATGCTATATGGCTTTGAAGAACGGGAGAAATTGTACAGCATCTTCGAGAAAACCACCGGTGCTCGCCTGACCACCAGCTATACCCGTGTTGGGGGATTGATGAGAGATATCTACGACGGCTTTGAGGAAGATGTCCGGACGTTCCTGAGCACCTTTCCGAAAACCCTGAAAGAGGTTCACACGCTGCTGACCCGAAACCGAATTTGGATGGATCGTACCAAAGACGTTGGAGTTGTATCAGCCGAAGACGCAATTGATTATGGGCTTACAGGCCCATGTCTGCGTGCCTCCGGAGTGGATTGGGATTTAAGAAAAGCAGAGCCATATTCCTACTATGAGGAGTTCGATTTTGATGTTCCCGTTGGTACCAATGGCGATGTTTATGATCGTTACCTAGTACGAATGGAAGAGATGATTCAGAGCGGTCGAATTGTTCAGCAGGCACTGGATAACCTTCCCGATGGACCTGTCAATGTGGATGACTATAAAATTAGCCTTCCAACAAAAGAGGACGCCTACGGGAATATCGAAGGTTTGATCCACCACTTCAAGATTATTATGGATGGGCATGGGGTCCAGCCCCCTGCGGGTGAAGTCTATTGTGCCACCGAGTCTCCGAACGGTGAACTGGGATTTTATATCGTCAGTGACGGCAGCGGTAAAGCGTACCGAATTCGTATCCGTCCACCCAGTTTTATGCACTTCCAAGCAGTGCCTCACATGATTGAAGGCGGTATGGTATCAGATATCGTCGCCGTATTGGGTAGCCTAAATATTATTGCCGGAGAATTAGATCGGTAGTATCAATCAAAAGGTTTAAGTTCTCACGGCACGTGGGGGATCCTTGCGCTGCCAAACCTCAACCTTGCTGGCAAAACGGAGGGAATCATTCCGCCACCGATTATTCGGTATCTATTGGAAACCGTTTAATAGAGACACATCATAGATTGGGATGAAGGCATGAAACGGTTGACCCTCCTTTTATTATGCTGTCTATGGCTCATTTCCGGGGTGGTTTTTTCTCAAAATCTAATAACCGGGACAGTCCGTGGTCATGTCATTGATACCTCAACGACACATCTCCCAATCGAAGGGGTCCGAGTTGTCCTCCTCGCTGCCGATGGCTCCGAAACTGTAACAGAGACAGACAACAATGGTGGCTTCGAGATGGTTGGTTTGGCCCCCGGTCGTTACCTGCTAAGTTGTTATAAAGACGGGTACTGGGACGTTGTCGGCAAGCCGGTCATGGTTATTGCCGGTGGTAATCACGATGTGTCGCTAAGGACAGCTGAACATACAAAAACGGGAGCAGTTCGTGGCAATGTCACTGACACCTCAACGGCGCAGCTCCCAATCGAAGGGGTGCGGGTTGTTCTCGGTTGCAGCTAGCGGACTCGAAACTGAGGGGGACACAGCTAGTAACGGTGAATTCAAGATAGTCGGTTTGGCTCCCGGCCGTTATTTTCTGAGTTGTTATAAAGATGGGTACGGCGATCGCACTGGCAAACCGGTCACCGTCATTGCTGGTGGCGAACACTACGTGCCGATTAAAATGCTCGCGAAAGAGCCTCCTTGGCTGTTACTTATCTGTTTAGGGGTCGCTGCGGTCCTGATTGTTGGCATAGCGATTGTTGTGGGTTTGCGCGATCGCCCCTTAGACTAACGAAGATTGTGGTGTCCGCTCTCCACGAATGATAGCGATTATAGACACCTTAGCTGACACAACGTAGTCACTTCTTCTCAGAAGGAATGAGTAGATGTCCAATGAACTTATTCAAATAGAAACGCCATTCCAGTTTTCAGAGGAAAATCAGCGGGAGTTTGATAAACTGATTCAGCGCTATCCGGTGAAGGAAGCTGCAATGCTGCCCGCACTGCATCTAGCACAGAAACAGGCAGGTTATATCAGTCCTGCCGTGATGGAGCATGTCGCTGAACTGTTGGAATTGCCGGTGATGAAGGTTAAAGATGTGGTAACATTTTACCCAATGTTCTTCGAGGAACCTGTCGGTAAATATGTTATCCGCGTTTGCTACACACTCCCCTGTGCGTTGAGAGATTGTAAATTGGTGCTGGAGCATATCAAACAAAAATTCGACATAGATGTTGCTTCCGAAACAGACTTGGCAAAAGGAACCACGCCAGATGGGAAATTTACCTTACTGAAATCAGAGTGCCTAGCATCTTGCGATGTGGCACCTGTCGTAATGGTTAATGATGACTTGTATAAGAACCTCACTCCGGAAAAGATGGATGAGATTTTGGATGGCTTAGAGTAGAGGCAAAAGGTTGGTAACGACTCATGGTTCAAGAAAGACGCGTTCTCTACGAAAATCTGGATGTACCAGACATCAATACATTTGATGTATTTCGTCAGTACGACTGGCTATAAACACTTCGAGAAGGCAATCAAGGAGTATCAGCCGGAAGATATTTGCGATATAGTGATGAAATCCGGGCTGAAGGGACGTGGCGGCGCAGGGTTTTCAACCGGGCTGAAGTGGAGTTTTGTGCCCAGAGATATTGAGCCCCGCTATCTGTGTTGCAACGCCGATGAGAGTGAGCCGGGAACGTTTAGCAATCGCTACGTTCTGGAGAAGAATCCACATCTGTTAATCGAAGGCATCTTAATCTGTTGCTATGCCATGGGGATTAACACCGCGTACATCTACATTCGTGGGGAATTCACACTCGGTAAGCGTATGTTAGATGCCGCTCTCGAAGAAGCATATCAGCACGGCTATCTGGGAAAAAATATCCAAGGGAGTGGCTTTGATTTGGACATTTATTCCCATCCGGGAGCCGGAGCGTACATCTGCGGCGAAGAGACAGGACTGATTGAATCCCTTGAAGGAAAACGCGGGCAACCGCGTGTGAAACCGCCCTTCCCCGCAGTCGAAGGGTTGTTCCATAAGCCAACAGTTGTACAGAATGTGGAAACGCTGTGTAACCTACCTTTCCTGATGGGGAATGGGGTCGAATGGTATACCAGTATGGGACGCACCTATGGGGATACCCGGTTTAATCCGCCACAATCGGATCCAAACACAGGGACAAAATTGTACTGTATCAGCGGGGACGTGCATGAGCCGGGCGTCTATGAACTCGATCTCGGTTTGACCGCCGAGGAGTTAATCGAAGTTGCGGGCGGCGTCAGGGGTGAGCGCGTAAAAGCTGTCATCCCCGGCGGTAGTTCTGCACCGATTTTGACGCACTATGAATTGGAATGTCGCCTCGACTTTACTTCATTGACGCTCTGGAAATCAATGCTCGGTTCTGGAGGCATTATCGTCATGAACGAAACGCGGAACATTGTCGATTGCCTCCTCAACATCATGAAGTTCTACGCGCATGAATCGTGTGGGCAGTGTACGCCGTGCCGTTGGGGAACGCCTTGGGTGCGAGATATTGTCCAACGAATCGCCGACGGTGAGGGGCGGCAAACAACGATTCAACGACCTAAGTTTGGGGTTGCAGAGGGCGGCAGATGGGGTGATACCGGTGAGATGGAAGAGGTTTACGAAGACCTTGACCTGCTAGAGAGTGTCGCAAACAACATCGCAAATGTGGACACCATGACGTGGAATACCATCTGCGTCTTTGGGATCGCTGTCTCATGGCCCGCTGTGAGTTATCTACGGAAATTCCGTCCAGAGTTTGAGGCTGCAATCCGTGAGGGGAAATTGGTAACATTGCCGGTGGAAGAAGCGACGGTGCCGCCGGAAGGGAATTACGCTTATCAGCAGCGGATAGTCCCAAGACTGTTTGAAGCGTAGAATTTCACCGGCGAGCGAATCGATTGACACGAAACACCATCGGTTACTCCGTTTTTTGTGGAAAACCGATAAACACTAAACGGCGACTCAGCGCGTGGAGTGCCTCTATGATTCGCGTCTCTCATCTCACAAAGAGATATGGAATGACCGTCGCTGTTGATGATATTAGTTTTGAGGTGCCACAAGGTCAAATTGTGGGTTATCTCGGACCCAACGGTGCGGGAAAAAGCACGACACTAAAGATGCTCGTTGGTTTGCTTGAGCCGACGGAAGGCAAAATATCGGTCGCCGGCTATGACGCCGCAACGGAATTGCTGGCACTGAAAAAACATGTTGGATATGTCCCCGAAGAGGCACACTTATACGAAAGTTTAACCTTAGTCGAGCACCTTCAGTTGATGGGTAGACTCTATCACGTCGAAGAAACGCTCTATCGCTCAGAAGATACAGGACCTCGCACGGCTCTTTGATATGGAGCCGCAGGGAACGCAAAAGATAAGTAGTTTTTCGCAAGGGATGCGCCAGAAACTGCTCATTATGTCCGCTTTGTTGCACAATCCGGATGTTCTGTTTTTGGATGAACCCTTCACCAATTTGGATGTGACAACAGTCACACTCATGAAAACGATTTTACAACGTCTCGCTGACGCGGGGAAAACCATTTTGTACTGTACCCATATCCTTGAAGTCGCAGAGACGCTCTGTCCGCGAATTATGATTATCAACCAAGGGAAACTAATCGCCGATGCAACGGTTGATGAACTGCGAAAGATGACCAGCGAAACAGCACTGAATCAGATTTTCACACAACTCACGGATACCAGTAGTGGAATTGACCAGAAAACAGAAGAAGCCATTCGGATTTTGATGGGAGGCTCCGATGCTTGACAAAATCGTTGAGATGTTCGGGGCAGACCCAACGCACTATAGGCAGCTTCTGAAGGTGGAGAAGACTGTCGCCACATTTGCACTTGCTGAACAACGTGGTTTTGCCAACGCTTCCCTCGGTATAAACTTGTTCATCTGTCAGTGTGTAATTGCCATGACAGTGTTTTTCCTGCCCTTGGATATATTTAGCTATACACTTTTGACCCTGTCAGGTACAATGGGGCTGGTTGTACTTTTGATTCTTCCACACTTTGATATTATTCTCAGTCCGACAAACTATCTTGTCGTATCACATACACCGGTGTCGTCGCACACCTATTTTATTGTGAAGCTAACGCAGCTGCTGACTTACGCTGTCCTGTTGTTGGGATGCTTAAATCTGCTACCTGCCATCTTCGGGCTGTGGGCAGAAGAACAAAATCCGTTTTCTCCCGTCGTCCTTCCATCTCCTTTATCGCTGGTTTTTTCATGATTGGAATGATGACGGCGTTTGCAGGGTATTTGACAAAACTTTACACGAAAGAGCGGTTCCGAAATATTGCTCAATGCGCGCAGCTAGCTTTTACCGTTTTCTTTCCGGCTATCTATCTACTCGGTCCTCGTTTCTTTACAGAATTGGCAACAGATAAGGTGGTCTCCCTCTTTAAGGCGTTCTATCTGTTACCCAACAGTTGGTTGTGTGTGGTAAGGGGCTACGCTGTCTACTCCTGGTGCGGGGTTTGTTCGTCATGAGGGGCGAGGTGGGTAGGCCAGCTTGCTCTAGGGAAATAACACAACCGCCGAATTTCTGTGATTTTAACACGCCTGCGATTCGTCTCGCTTCATTGTACTGTTGGTGGTTGGACCGCTCCGCAGTATTGCCAAAAGTTACTCAAAATATCTTGCCTCTCTGTCGGAGGCTAGGAGAACACGAAGTTCGCAACTTAAGATCAAGACATCTGTCGTCGCACGTCTGTTCAGGAGGCGTGAAATCTGTGCTGCATCTGATCTTGTTTTCGCCTACCTGCGACGCGATAGGACGACACAATTCCGGTTTCTCCGTGAACTTGGGACTGCTGTTATTGTTCTCATCCTCGTGTTTCGTGACCATGATTTGTTTCTGAATAGCATTGGAAAAACCTTCACTATCTGGCTCGCACTCGGCGTCTCGGCGTTTTTCTTCTTTATCGGTTTAGGCTTCATCGGTACTTTCCTCGGACAGATTCGGTATTCGGATCATTGGAAAGCTGCGTGGCTGTTTCGCTGCGCGTCGCTTGCAGTACCCCATGCTTTATGGCGGGGCGTACAGGCAACAGCATTGGTTTACATGATTTTCCCTTATACATTGTTATTCGCAACCGTTGCAACCTTTCTCTGGCCCCGCTTTTGGGGAGGCTTTTACGTTCTACCGGGTCTAATAGGTCTGCTCTGTTACGTTGTCTTTCACCCAAAACCAAGCTCCGGATTACCGCTCTCCCAAGAATATAGCCAAAGCAAACGTTATACGGAACTCATTCCGTTCTTATGTGGTCTTCTCATTTTTGGAGCCGTTTTAACCCTCCAATTTGTGATGTACAAAATCCATTTGGGACTTTATATCGCTTGTTATAGTGTTACAATCATTGCTGGGATTCTACTCTTTATCTACTTTTTTGGCAAAAAAGAGGAGCAAATTTCAAAAAATCAGATTGGCGTTGAAGCGTATCCTCCAAACTCAATCTGACATGTATCACCACATCTTACGCGCTGCATAATGAGGACATCATGGCATTCATTAAACTGAACGACCTTGAGATTGAAGTTGAAGACGGAACCAATATCATTGAGGCTGCCAGACAACACGGCATTGAAGTGCCACACTACTGCTACCACCCAGGGTTGACCCGTCCGGCAAACTGTCGCATGTGCCTTGTGGAGCCCCATGTCTTCTTTCCGCCCGCGGGCAAGGTTGTTCCAGACCGCCAACTCGCAACCGGCTGCACGACCACGGTGCGTACCGCCCCTCCGGATCGAAAACTGGATGGGAAATATGATTTTATTGTCCGGACCGATTCGCCGCGTGTAAAGAAAGCGCGGGAGGACATCCTTGAGTTTCTGCTTGTTCACCACCCGCTTGATTGTCCCGTCTGTGACCAAGCAGGCGAGTGCGACCTTCAGGATTTCAGCTATAATCATGGCTAGCGGCAAGAGCCGATACGTTGAGTTAAGAACGTCCCCCCGAAAAAGGATCTCGGTCCCGATGTACTGCTTTACTCAACACGATGTATTGTTTGTACCCGTTGCGTCCGTTTCTGTGATGAAGTGGCAGGTACCGGAGAACTTGGGTTGATCCATCGAGGTTCACACGACGAAATTGATATTCCACGCGACCACGACGATAACCCGCTCCGGCTGCTCGATAATAAACTCGCTGGCAATGTCGTGGATATTTGTCCCGTTGGGGCACTGACTAGCAAAGATTTCCTCTTTAAGTCGCGTCCGTGGTTCATGAAGCAGGTTAATAGCGTCTGTCCGGGGTGTAGCGTTGGATGCAACATCACTGTTGACTATAAGGAAGATGGTCTTTATCGAATTCAGCCACGGTTCCACGAGGATATCAATCAACACTGGATGTGCGACGACGGACGGCTCGGCTACCATTACGTCAACAGCGAAGATCGGCTCAAGATTCCGATGAAGCGGATAGATGGCGAACTTGTCCCAACCTCATGGGCAGATGCGCTGAATATCATTGTGGAGAAATTCTCTGAAACCGATCCGGAATCTACCGTCGTCGTTGGCTCTGCACAAGGCACGAATGAGGAGAACTACCTGCTGGGCAAACTGGCGCGTGAAGTCCTCAAAACGGAGTCGATCGGGCTGTTTGGGCGCGAGCCGGGTGAGGAACACAAATTCCCGCAATTCACTATTGATGCCGACAAAAACCCGAACACGCGCGGTGCGCTGGATATGCTCAAGCTGGGAGATGATGCTTCCTTAACGGGGGACGCACTTTGGAATGGAATAGCAAACGCAAAGGTCGTGTACCTTGTGAATGGGGCACCCGAACGTCCACTTGACGAGACAGCGAAGCAGGCGTTGGAAGCGGTCGATTTTCTGGTTGTACAGGATATCTTTGAATCCGATGTAGCACAATTGGCTGATGTGGTCCTCCCAGGGGTCACCTTTGCGGAGAAGGATGGCAGTTTCACCAACGCAAAGGGCTGGGTGCAACGGATACATCAGGCTGTCGATCCCCCCGGCGAGGCGCGTGTTGATTGGGAGATTATCCAACAATTAGCCAAACGGTTGGGCGGTGAGATAGATTATCACTTTGCCGGTGAGATTGCGCTGGAGATTGCGGAAAATGTACCCGATTATCAAGATGCTACGCACCAGAAGATTGGGGATGGTGGAGTTAATCTCGCTAGCGAGAACAGTTGACGATCTCCATGATGAAAGTGAAATGAAATTAGATTCAGGGCAAATCTCAGAAATTAGTAATTATTTCAAAGATAAACCGGTGCTGAAGGCATACCTCTTCGGATCATGCGCTAGGGATGAAGCTGATGATAAGAGTGATGTAGATATTTTGGTTGAGTTAGACTATGCTAAACCGATTGGTTTAGAATTTGTCCAAATGCAGCTAGATTTGCAAGACCTGCTAAATAGACAGGTGGATCTACTTTCGCAAAAAGCCATCCCAAAACACATTCAGCCTTACATCAAACAAGATAGAGTGCTAGTCTATGCGAGGAGATCTAGGTGATCGGGCAAGATTTCAACATATACTAGATGCAATTTTTGAAATAGAATCTTACACCCGTCAAGCTGGCTTTGATGATTTTGTAGAAAACTCAATGATGCGGTTTGCTTCAATAAAGCAACTCGAAATCATTGGTGAAGCTGCCAACTCTCTTACAGATGAATTCAAACGAAGATTCCCGGACATAGAATGACGAGCGATTATAGGATTGAGGAACACTTCAATCCACCACTACTTTGGAATTGATGAAAATGTGGTTTGGGGAATTATTCAGAAAGATATTCCAGAACTGAAAATGAAAGTCGTGGAAATTTTGAGAAATCTGAAAAATAAAGCGATTTAAGAATCCAGATAGGGAGGCATATGGACTTACCATTTCATGTCTTAATCATTAGCTCACTCATCAAAATTGTTGTCGTCGTTCATCTGCTGCTCATCGGTGTCATGGCGATGATTCTTGCCGAGCGGAAAGTGAGTGGATGGATTCAGGATCGACACGGTCCCAACCGCGTTGGACCTTGGGGCATTTTGCAGCCGATTGCCGATGGCGTAAAATTTCTGTTAAAAGAGGATCTGATTCCAGACCACGTGGATAAACCGATCTACCTACTCGCACCTGCAATTATTTTGGTGCCAGCCCTAGTTACCTGCGGGGTTGTCCCCTTTGGTAGTTCAATAACGATCTCAGGCTACGAAATCCCTCTGCAAATTGCCGATATTAATATCGGGGTTCTGTATATTCTGGCAATCACCTCTTTGGGGGTTTATGGTGTCGTGCTTGGTGCGTGGGCATCAAACAACAAGTATTCGCTGCTCGGTGGCTTGCGCTCCTCCGCACAGATGATTAGCTATGAGTTGACGTTGGGGCTTTCGCTTATAGGCGTTCTTATGCTTTCAAGCTCATTAAGCCTCCGGGAGATCGCAATTCAACAAGGGAGTTATCCTTGGACTTGGAATTTCCTCATCCATTTTCCCGCCTTTTTAGCCTTTACCACCGCCGCCTTTGCAGAGACCAATCGTCTCCCCTTCGATCTCGCCGAAGCGGAACAGGAACTTGTCGGTGGATACCATACGGAATATAGCAGCATGAAATTTGCGATGTACTTTATGGCGGAGTACCTGCACATGATTGTCGGCTCGGCGGTAGCTGTTACGCTATTTTTGGGTGGTTGGCATTTCTTCGGATTAGAAACAGTTGGCGGTCCCTTCTGGAGTGGCGTGATTTCATTCGGAATCTTCTTCGCCAAAACAGCATTTTTCCTCTTTGTCTTTATCTGGGTTAGATGGACCCTGCCCCGATTCCGGTATGATCAACTCATGAATCTCGGCTGGAAATTTCTACTGCCCATTGCAATTACAACAATTGTTGTGACAGCGACGGTTTGGGCATTCACACAATCGAAGCTCCTTGTGGGCATACTAAATGTTGTCGCCGCCTTTATCGTTGTTGCAATCGTAGCAACTACATTGGTAATGACGCGGGAACCTGAGCCGGTTGATGATAGAGATATACTCAGTTTTACCGACGAATCTTCATCTTAATAACTACCGTAGGCTATAACAAGCCTCTGATTTACAAGGGTACACATGGCTGAACAGATTCTGTTTATTATTTTTGGCATACTAGCCGTTGGTTCTGCGATATGCGTCATTGCATTCAGGAATCCGATTCACAGTGCGCTAGCATTGGTCCTGACCTTCTTCTCATTGGCGGGGTTGTTTATCTCGTTGGGAGCGTACTTTGTTGCCGCTGTGCAGGTGATTGTCTATGCCGGCGCAATTATGGTATTATTCCTGTTTGTGATCATGTTGCTCAATTTAGGTAGACTTCAAACAGCACGCCAAATCAACAAGGCAAAGGTGTTCGCTGTCATTGTGGGGATTCTACTGGCAGCAGAGGTAATTTACATCGGAATCAAAGCGTATGATGGCACCGCTGTTTCGCCTTCTCAGAGCGGAAGTCAAGCAGTTGGCGCAACGATTACTTCAGAACAGCTGAACCAGATTGCGGCAATTGAATCCACCTACCAACTTGACCGTGCAGAAATCAATAGCACGTACGTGCCAAAAATTGCTGAACAAAAAAACTCAGTAGAAACACTCACCGCAAGTGAAGCGAATCAACTCATCAAAAAACTTCAGGGAGAGATGGGTAAACCTGACCGGATTGGCACGATACTATTTACAAAGTTTTTATTGCCTTTTGAGGTGACATCGCTTATATTGCTTGCAGCTTTAATCGGAGTCATCGCGCTTGTTAAACGTGAAAATCCAGACACGGCTGCTTAATTGTAAACTAGGGGTTGAAATATGGCTCTGCAATACTATCTTATTTTAAGCGCGTTGCTCTTTACTATCGGGGTAATCGGCGTGCTCATCCGGAGAAACGCAATCATTATCTTTATGTGTATCGAACTGATGCTCAACGCGGCAAATCTCGCTTTCGTCGCAATCGGTCGAGAATTGGGGGATGCTTCGGGGCAGATTTTCGTGTTCTTCGTCATGACTGTTGCTGCCGCTGAAGTTGCCATTGGACTTGCTATTATCGTGGGTGTTTTCAGACATCACGAAACGATTAATATTGATGAAATCAACACGATGAAGGGGTAATCGCATGAACTGTTTGAACTCCAATGAAAAGAGATGAAACAGACTTCACATGGCAAGCACCGAATGCAGGACTCAGATCGTCCATCTGCTTATGCACAGCAAGATCGGCTCCAGCCTAAGGAGATATACATTGATAACGAAACAGGTTATTTGATTTACGTTGGACCAAATGGGCGAACACATATATTTACTACTGACGACAAATACCATACAAGTTTTATAACCACCCGTCGCAATCGCATCTTACGAATTAGTACAGGGAAATGGACAAGACAATTTAAGGGTGCTTAGAATGGAAACCTTGAAGATTCGAGAAATAGCTTCTGTCAAAATGCTGGATATTGAAATGTCCGAAGATGAGTTTGATGTATGCGAGAAATGTTTAGAATATGTTTTACAGAGTTGCTCACCTGATGAGATTGAAGCGGTGAGCGGAGCCACGCCGGAAGAACTTGAAGAGATATGGCGTCAAATGGCTGCTGCACTCAGGAAACATACGGATCTCCGAGAAACACCAAGTACATCTGGTAGAGGAGTCTGAAATGTCGAAAGACCTAATAACTATACTTCTGGTTTCCCCACTGATTGGATTTCTAATAAACGGGATTGTTCGGGAAATGGCTGAAAAATGTGAGTGGATGGATTGCATCTCTCGCGGTGCTCATATCGTTCATTATCAGTGCGTTTTTCGTATTTCCTACGGTCCGCAGCGGTGGAGAACTAAAGGAAACGCTCTACGAATGGATCCCGATCGAATCTCTTAACATCGGCTTCCACTGTTGATGCACTGACTACAGTGATGCTCCTCGTCATTACAGGGGTTGGCTTCCTCATTCATATCTATTCAATCGGCTATATGAGCCATGATTCGGGGAGAACGCGCTATTTTGCTTATCTCAACCTGTTTGTATTTGCCATGTTAATCCTCGTTTTGGCGAACAATTACCTGATGATGTTCATCGGTTGGGAAGGCGTTGGACTCTGTTCTTATCTATTGATCGGTTATTGGTTCGATAGAAAATCTGCCACCGATGCCGGCAAGAAAGCTTTCATTGTTAATAGAATCGGCGATTTTGGATTCCTGCTTGGGATGTTCACCTTGTTTGCGGCGTTTGGCACATTGAATTTTGACCAACTTTTTGGGCTCGCCGAAACCAACACCTATGAGCAGATTTTCGGGGCAAGTACGCTCGTCGTCGCAACTTTACTGCTCTTCGTCGGCGCAGTGGGTAAGTCCGCACAAATCCCTCTCTACGTCTGGCTCCCCGATGCGATGGAGGGTCCCACGCCTGTTAGTGCGTTGATCCATGCCGCCACGATGGTCACGGCTGGCGTTTACATGGTCGCACGCTCATCAATTCTGTTTAACCTAGCACACACAGGTGTTGTCGTCGCTTGGATCGGCGTTCTCACTGCCCTGTTCGCTGCAACGATGGCGTTGGCTGCAAATGACATCAAGCGGGTGCTGGCATATTCGACTGTGAGCCAACTCGGTTATATGTTCGTGGGTGTGGGGGTTGGTGCGTATACTTCTGGGATCTTCCACCTGATGACACACGCTTTCTTCAAAGGATTGATGTTCCTTACAGCTGGCAGTGTGATGCACGCCATGTCGAATGAACTGGATATGCGGAAGATGGGTGGACTGAAATCAAAGCTACCGATTACCTATTGGACATTCCTCATTGGTGCCCTTGCGATTGCGGGTTTCCCGTTCTTGAGCGGTTTCTGGAGTAAAGACGAGATTCTACACAACGCTTGGGATGGTGGATACCAAATAATTTTCGGGATTGGGCTGCTGACAGCGTTTCTAACGGCGTTCTATATGTTCCGTCTGATCTTTGTAGTCTTTCACGGTGAATCGCGTGTCGATTCAGAGGTTGAGTCGCATCTCCACGAATCGCCACCGGTGATGTGGATTCCGCTCGTGTTGTTAGCAATTCCTTCTCTAATTATCGGTGCAATCGTTGGTTGGGGCGGAGAACATAGTGCGATTCATCATTTCTTGGAAAGCGTAAAGGGATTTAAACACTATGGCGATATCAGATCACAGCAATCCAGTTCCCTTTATGATCATTTCGTCATTGTTGGCATTGCAGGCATTTTGGTGGCTTGGCTCATATATCGTAGCAAAGTTCCCCTCAATGAACCGACAAACCCGTTACACAAACTCCTCGCTAACAAATACTACATCGACGAAATCTATAACGCTGTTATTGTGCAGCCAATACGGGGCGTGTCCCACTATCTATTCTGGAAGATCATGGATGTCGCCATCATTGACGGGCTTGTGAATCTAACCGCATTTATCATCCGCGGAATTGGTGGCTCGATCCGACGACTCCAGACGGGTGTTGTCCAATCCTACGTTGTATCAATGGTCATCGGTATCATCATTTTCTTGGGGTATTATCTGTTTATTCGATGAAGGGCATTAGCAACACTTATCAACCGACATTAACTTTCATGAGTCACGAAGCGTAAACACCTTTACGTTTAACGCATTACACTTCGGAGGTTATACTTGTTACTTTCCGCAGTTATCTTTTTACCACTACTTGGTGTAATCTTAATCGCCCTTGCGAGGCACATTTTAGGCGAGTCAGGACTTAAATGGATCGCTCTGATTGTTACGCTGCTCACTTTTGCCGTGTCGCTATCCCTCTATACCGGGTTTGACGCAGACACACATGAGATGCAGTTTAAGGAGGAACGTACTTGGATCGAGGAGCTTGGCATAAGCTACCACCTCGGCATTGATGGTATCTCACTCTGGCTGGTTCTGTTGACCACTTTTATGACGCCGATTTGTGTGCTAGCAGCATGGAATTCGATAGAAAAAGGCACCAGCGGATTCATGGGTTCGCTCCTCATGCTCGAAACGGCGATGCTCGGTGTGTTTTGTGCGTTAGACCTCTTCCTCTTTTTTGTGTTTTGGGAGGCGATGCTCATCCCGATGTATCTACTGATCGGCATCTGGGGTGGACATCGGCGCATCTACGCGACGATTAAGTTTGTGCTGTACACAATGGCGGGCAGCGCGTTGATGCTTGTTGGGATTTTGTACCTCTATTTCCAAAATGATAATAGTTTCAACCTGATGACCTTATACGGCAGATCATTATCACATCAGAACCTGCTATTCTTGGCGTTTTTCATCGCCTTTGCCATCAAAGTGCCGATTTTCCCCTTCCACACTTGGCTTCCCGATGCACACGTTGAAGCACCGACGGTTGGCAGTGTTATCCTCGCGGGCGTATTACTCAAAATGGGGACATACGGCATCGTACGCTTCTGTATGCCACTTTTCCCGGAGGGTGTTGCAGCGTATACGCCACTTATCGTAACGCTGTCTGTGATTGGTATCATTTACGGCGCATTGGTAGCGATGGTGCAACCAGACCTTAAGAAACTGGTTGCTTATTCAAGTGTGAGTCATTTGGGGTTTGTCGTGCTTGGACTTTTCGCCCTCAACCATCAGGGTGTGCAGGGCGGTATCCTCCAAATGATTAATCATGGGTTAAGTACCGGCGCACTTTTCTTGCTCGTCGGGATGATCTATGAACGCAGGCACACTCGCATGATTGCCGACTTCGGTGGATTGTCAAAACAGATGCCGATTTTCGCCGTATTTTTTATGATTGTGACGCTTTCATCAATTGGATTACCCGGTTTGAACGGATTTGTCGGGGAGTTTATGATTTTGCTCGGCGGCTTTATGTCTGATTCATTCTCTAAAGTGTATGTTATTATCGCTGCAACCGGTGTTATTTTGGCAGCGGTGTATATGCTCTGGATGTTCCAGCGCGTCATGTTTGGCAAACTCGATAACCCAAAAAATCAAACCTTGACCGATTTGAGTCTGCGCGAAATCGTTGTACTGGTTCCAATAGTGGTGTTCATCATTTGGATTGGCGTTTACCCCAAACCGTTTCTGAGCCGAATGGAAAAATCAGTCAGTCAAGTGTTACAACAGAGCAGATCCACGGCGGCGGTCGAGGCAGCTGCTCCCGCAATTGTACTGGACACCACGACAAAAGAGGCAAAAAAGATTGACGAATAAGCATCTATTTTTTCTGTTGGCACTTCTGGGATTCATTGGACTTATCCTTTTCCCGACAATTGGTTTTGCAGCGGCAGCCGCAGGTGGTGATGGACACGATAACCACACCGAACAGCATGGAGATGATGACCACTCCACACATCACGGTGTGGATGGAGCGAAGCTGCCCCTTTGGAGCATCATTCCGTTTATCGGTATGCTGCTCTCCATTGCAATAATCCCACTGATTAACTTCCATTTTTGGGAGAATCACTACGGAAAAATCTCGTTAGCCTGGATTGCCATTTTCTCTGTTCCCTTCTTTATCGGCTACAAAGGCGATGGATGGTATGAAATTGTCCATATTGTCCTGCTCGATTACGTTCCCTTCATTATCTTATTGACTGTACTTTTCACATGTGCAGGCGGAATTTGTCTGAGGGGCTCCTTGCGAGGGTCGCCCGTCGTCAATACCGTACTGATCGCAATAGGAACCGCCTTGGCAAGTTGGATGGGAACAACGGGGGCGGCAATGTTGCTGATTCGTCCGATACTCCGGGCTAATCAATGGCGTACGCATCGTATTCACGTCGTCGTCTTTTTCATATTTCTCGTAGCCAATATCGGTGGTTCATTGACACCATTGGGTGACCCCCCGCTGTTTCTCGGATTCCTTAAAGGAATTGACTTTTTCTGGACAATGGCACTATTCCCCGTGATGTTGCCGGTGGTGATTTTGCTGCTGATCGTCTTCTTCATCTTCGACACGGTCATGTTCAGGAAAGAAGGCACGCCGCCGGATGATGGAGAAAAAGAGCCACTCCGCCTCCAAGGTATTTGGAATTTTTTGCTTATCGTCGGTATCATCGGTGCGATCCTGTGGTCAAAATCACTCGCTGATGGTCCCTTCAAGGATCATTCAATTGCGGAGAAAATGGCACCGCAAATCAAAACCGCAGAAGAAAAGATGAACGCAACGAAGGAGAAACTCGAAACGTATGTCAAGGGACATGAAGATGACACAACGATAAAATTTGACAAATCCAATCACGAATACTATGAATTGCGGGGAAACCACCTCCACGCCGTTGCGGAAGTCAACAGTCTGCGTGCACAAAAGACACACGATGAAAACCGTGGCATCTCAATCTTTGGCGTAACTGTGCCGTATTTTAATTTGATGCGAGATGGTTTGCTGCTCTTGATTGCAATCATCAGCCTGTTGTACACACCAATGTATAAGACCGTGAAAGACGAGCATGGACATAATTTTCCTGAACCGAGTCAGTTGGATACAAATGTCCGGGCGGCAAACGGTTTTACATGGGAACCAATCCTAGAGGTTGCCAAACTTTTTATCGGCATCTTTATCTGCATGATTCCAGCTTTGAAAATCTTGCAGGCGGGTATTGATGGAAGCCTCAGTACTATTGTGCTCGCGGTTCAGACGACAACGAATGATCCGGTCAATGCGATGTATTTCTGGTTGACAGGCGTGCTATCAAGTTTCCTAGACAACGCACCGACTTACGTGGTTTTCTTTAACACAGCGGGTGGAGATCCAACTTCGCTCATGGGTCCAATGGCGCATACACTGTTGGCAATCAGTTGTGGTGCAGTGTTTATGGGAGCTAACACTTATATCGGCAACGCACCGAACTTTATGGTCAAAGCGATTGCTGAGGAAAATGGTATCAGGATGCCAAGTTTCTTCGGATACATGCTTTGGTCAGTGGCGATTTTGGTTCCCGTGTTTGTGATTGTAACGTTTGTATACTTTGTGTAAGGATGAACCTATCTGTTCATCTAAGATTGGAGGATTTGAATGACAATTAACTGGCAACTGCTGATGCCCGAATTGATCATTATTTTGACCTTTATCCTCGTCGTAATTTTTGATCTGTTCAATTCGCTTCAAAAGACATTTACCGCTTGGATCACAATTGTTGGCTGTGCCATTGCCCTATATGTTTCCATCGATATGTTGCAAATTGGCACGGAAGGCACAGAATTTAGCAATATGATTCAGGTGGATAAATATTCCCTCTTTTTTAATGTCATATTCTTGGTCTCAACGATTCTGGTCGTTCTTATTTCAATGAACTACTTGGGACGCCAAGATAAGCGACAGGGGGAGTATTACCTGTTAATCCTTTTGGCAACGTTGGGCATGATGTTGATGGCTTCAGGCAACGAGTTAATTGTTGTCTTCCTCGGCTTAGAACTGATGTCGCTATCGCTTTACGTCCTAGCTGGTTATTTCCAAAGAAGCATGGCGTCAAGCGAAGCTGGAATGAAGTATCTGCTACTTGGCGCATTTGCGAGTGGATTTTTCTTGTACGGTATTGCGTTGATCTATGGAGGCGCGGGGACAACCAGTATTCCTCAAATTGCCTCTGCCTTAACCGTAGATGCAAAGTCACCACTACTATTATCTGGTATGTTTCTGCTTGTTGTAGGATTCGGATTCAAAGTGGCACTTGTGCCGTTTCATCAGTGGGCACCCGATGTCTACGAAGGCGCACCCACTTCAATCGCCGCATTTATCTCCGCCGGACCGAAAGCGGCGGGGTTTGCTGCGTTCCTGAGAATCTTCATGGACGCGCTACAGAACCTCCAATCCGAATGGATTATCCTTATTACAATCCTTGCCGCACTCACCATGACCGTTGGCAACTTGGTTGCTATCGCCCAGCGAAATATTAAGCGTATGCTCGCTTATTCAAGTATTGCCCATGCTGGATACGTCTTGGTTGCGTTGGCAGCAGCAAACAAAGACGGAATCTCCAGTGCGATGTTTTACCTGTTCGTTTACTGTGTCATGAACATCGGGGCATTCGGAGCAGTGATTCTCGCAAGGACGGAAGATGGCGAAAGCCTCATGATTTCCGATTACGCCGGACTGGGATTCAAAAAACCGCTGCTCGCTCTGTTCATGACAATAATGTTGTTATCCCTCGCTGGGTTTCCACCGACAGCGGGATTTATCGGTAAGTTCTACATTTTCCGATCTGCTGTCGAATCTGGGCAGATCTGGCTTGTGATTATTGGCGCGATTAACACTGCGATTTCTGCGTTCTATTATCTCCGTGTTGTTGTAGCGATGTACATGAGAGAGCCGGAAGTGGAACTCGACTTTCTCGCTTATCCACGTCTGCTCATCGTTGCGCTGACCCTCGCAGCGATAGGTGTCGTCCTAATTGGTATTCTGCCATCATACTTCCTGAGTCCAGCCCAAATTAGCACGTTCTTATAAGGACATGGTAAATTGACAATGGCGAAGTTGACACGAGGTAGCGATTGGAATAGTATGGATCTGGCTTCAATTGGCATCACCCTTGTGCTGGCAATTGGAATGGGATCCGGGTTAGGTTGGTGGATCGGCGGTAAATTAGGCAACCAAACAATCGGCTTAATTGTCGGGTTTATTATGGGAACTGCGGCAGGATTTATTGAGATGTTCCGCGCTGTTTCTCGGTGGAATAGACGTATGGAACACCAAGAGCAAGCTGAAAACTCTCAGAATGGAGCGGATCAAGCGGAGGAGGATTCGTAAAGTGGTTGCCCGCGCTCCCTTAGAAGTGGATGACCAATTTTTACGACAGGTCTATCGCCTAACGACCGTTCTCGCGCTCATTGCAATGCCAATCCTTTGGGCGGTGTACGGTCTGCCAGCCTGTTTAAGTTTTGCTGTCGGCAGTCTTTTGAGTTTGAGCGCAATTTTGTCATTAGAGTTTATCATCCGCCGCATGGTTAAGCCCGGCGGCTCGCCACGGACAAAACGTTGGCTGGGATTCATCGCATTAGGAAAGTACACAATTATTTTTGCCGGATTTTATTTTTTGACGAAAGCAAATTGGCTGAATGCTTACACCCTTGCAGCGGGGGTTGGACTGGTGCAAGTTGTGATTATCCTCAAAGCAATCGTGATGATGATAGGTATCCTATCAAAAAATAATACAACAGGACCTAAATGAGAAAAACATTCTACACGCTATTTTCTATTTTACTTCTGTCGCTGCTCGCTTGTAGTGTCGGATTGGCGGCTGGAGACGCACATCGTTCGTGGTTAAGCCCAATATCAAAAATTCTCCCAGATAACATAGTTCCAGAGCCAGACCGTTGGCATCAGCCGGATCTCATCCCCAACGCCTACTTCGTGGTGCTGATTATTGCACTACTTTTCATCCTTGCGACACGCAAAATTAAGAAACTCCCCGAAGGCAAAGGACAAACGCTCCTTGAACTGTTCGTGGGCGGGTTAATCAATTTCTTCGGCGGAATCTTGGGAGAACATGGGAAGAAATATGTTCCGTTTGTCGGATCTTACTTCATCTTTATCTTATTCTTAAACTATCTTGGCCTCATACCCGGCTTTCAATCTCCAACAGCGGATTTGAACACGACGCTTGCGCTCGGAATTAGCGCATTAATTGGCGTTCATATCATTGCGATTAAAGAGAATGGGTTGGTTGGTTACCTGAAACACTTTATCGGCGATCCACCGTGGTTGGGACCTTTGATGTTTCCGTTACACATCATTGGTGAAATCGCACGTGCCGGTTCTCTGGCGGTTCGACTTTTCGGAAATATCTTCGGTGAAGAATCCGTTATTATTAACCTAACCATTATGGGACTTGGAATCCCGGCGATCGCCGGGGTCATCCCGTGGATGCCAGTTCAGGTGCCGATGCTGTTTTTTGGGTTATTCGGTGGGTTTCTGCAAGCACTCGTCTTCTCAATGCTCACATCAATCTACATTGTTACATTCCTAGAACATCATGATGAGGAGCATGGTGCGGAAGCACATCATTGATCGATGGGCGATCGCGATCGCTCATTCATAATTGTTTTCACTTTTTTAATCTCAGTTTTAGGTTCAAAACTAAAGGAGGAACTTTCATGATTTATCTCGCAGTTTTAGCTTTCGGTGCAGCACTCGGTCTGCCGATTGCAGTGATTTTTGCATCTACCGCGCAAGGAAAAGCGACGAGCACCGCCCTTGAAGGTATTGCGCGTCAACCTGAGGCAGCTCCTCGAATCCAGACGGCAATGATCATCGGTTTGGCTCTTATCGAATCACTCGTGATCTACTCGCTGCTAATCTTTTTCCTACTTATGGGGAAACTTCCAGAGGGACAGATGCTTCAAAGTATGATTGAGGCTGATGCTCAGAAACAGGTGCAAACCAGTCATGAATAAGACGTGAAACGTGAAACGTGAAACGTGAATCTATTACCCTTCTTACGTTTTACGTTTTACGTTATACACGCATCATTTTTCTTGCGCTAGATACAATACTCTGACCTACAGAAAAGAACTATAATGAAAAAATTATCGTGGCTCTTCTTACTGATTATTATCGTAACATTAATTGTTCCGACAAGTGGATTTGCTGCAGAAGCGAGTTCCGAGGACAAGGGACTTTTAGCACAGATTGGCATCGATTTCCAGACGATTATTCTCCAAGCCCTAGGCTTTCTTGTCGTGCTACTCGTGCTCTGGAAATTCGTCTTTGGGCGAGTTGGCGGACTATTAGAAGAACGGCAACAGGAAATCACATCGCGAATGGAGAAACTAGAAGCAGACCAACGCGAACTGGACCGGTTGAATGCCGAAACCCGTCAACGGCTCAACGAAATTGAAACGGAAGGGCAGGCAAAGATTCAAGCGGCTATTGATGAGGGCAACGCTGAACGGCAGCGGATTCTTGATCAAGCACGTCAGGAGGCGAGTGTTGAACTTGAACGGGCACGTACAGAGATTCAACGCGAAAAGGACGAAGCCATCCTCGAACTACGAGGCACTGTTGCAGAGATTGCGATTGATGCTGCAAGCAAAATCATCGGTCAGACACTCGATGCAGAGAAACATCAGCACATCATTGATGAATCTATCAGTCGCCTTCCTACACAGAATGTCTAATATAAAGAATATACGATGAGAGAAACTCGCATTGCTAAACCCTACGCACGAGCGTTGTATAGTGCAGCGACGGAAGAGGATATTTTAGATCGCATTGTTGAAGATGTGAATCAGGTCCTCCAACTGACACAGGACTCGGAAGATTTTGATCAGTTTCTGACTAACCCTATCCTATCCCCGCAGTTCAAGAGCGAGATGTTCCAACAACTTCTATCCGAAGCTGTTCAGCCGCTCACGCTCAACTTTCTGCTCTTGCTAGCATTGAAACAACGTGAGAGATCCTTAGTTGCAATCTTACAGATGTTTCTGGAGATCGTTGATTTGCAAGCGGGTCGCCTCGTCGCACAGGTGACATCAGCGGTCCCGCTCACTGATGCGCAAAAAACCACCCTCTCTCAGCAATTGAGCAACTATTCGGAAGCGGAAGTCCGGCTTGAATTGAACGAAGATGCTACGATTCAAGGAGGCGTCATCGTGCGATTAGGGGATACTGTGTTTGATGGAAGCATCGCATCACAGCTGCAACGAATGAGAACATTACTTGCGAGGGGATAAGGGAGAACATAATTCATGGCAAGAGAAGTCAGACCCGACGAAGTATCAAACATTCTAAAACAACAACTACTACAATATAGCCAGCAAGTTGACGTATACGACTCAGGAACCGTGCTCGAAGTTGGCGACGGGATCGCCCGTGTCCACGGACTTGCCAACGTCATGGCAAGTGAAATGATTGAATTTCCCAACGGCGTTTCCGGTATGGCATTTAACCTTGAAGAGGATAATGTCGGCTGCGTTCTCTTCGGCGAAGATAGATTAATCCATGAAGGCGATCTCGCCAAGCGGACTAATAGATTGCTCGAAGTAGCCTGTCGGTGAGGCACTGCTTGGGCGCGTTGTAAACGCTCTTGGACAACCTATTGACGGCAAAGGGTGAAATCCAGACCGACCACACCCTCCCTGTCGAACAGAAGGGGTTGGGCATTGTGCAACGTCAGCCGGTGGGCGAACCGCTTTATACCGGTTTGAAGGCGATTGACAGTATGACGCCAATCGGACGGGGGCAGCGGGAACTAATCATCGGCGACCGTCAAACGGGCAAAACGGCTATCCCGATCGATACCATCATCAACCAGAAAAATACCGATGTGTTCTGCATCTATGTGGCGGTTGGACAGAAAGGTTCGACGGTTGCGCAGGTTGTGAATACCCTAGAACAGTATGGCGCAATGGATTACACGGTTATCGTTTCTGCACCGGCAAGTGAACCGTCTCCGCTCCAATACCTCGCACCCTACACAGGAACTTCGATGGGAGAATACTTCCGCGATAAAGGACAACACGCACTGGTAATTTACGATGATCTTACCAAACATGCGTGGGCGTACCGTCAGATGTCACTGCTTTCACGGCGTCCGCCGGGGCGTGAAGCGTATCCGGGTGATGTTTTTTATCTACACTCCCGTTTGTTGGAGCGCGCCGCAAAACTCAGTGATGAATTAGGTGGCGGTTCGTTGACCGCTCTGCCTATTATCGAAATTTTTGAAGGCGACCTCACGACCTATATCCCAACTAACGTGATTTCGATTACCGATGGACAGATCTACCTGACATCGGAACTCTTCAACCAAGGCGTTCGTCCGGCAATCGATATCGGCACATCGGTGTCCCGCGTCGGTGGGCGATGCACAAACGCGAGCGATGAAGTCAGATGAAGTAGCAGGCACCCTGAAACTCGACTTAGCCAGTTTCCGAGAGGTTGCTGCTTTCGCCCAGTTTGGATCTGATCTGGACGCTTCCACGCAAGCCCAACTTCGGCGTGGAGAACAACTCGTCGAATTGCTGAAACAGCCCCAATACGAGCCAATGCCCGTTGAAAACAGATTGCATCAATTTTCTGTGGATCGAACGGATATCTGGACGATCTTGAAACAACTGACGTGGCGCAATTTGAATCTGAATTCTTGGCATATATGGAAAGAAACCACGCAGACATCCTCAAGGAGATTGTTGATGCCGGGGATTTCAGCGACGAGCTTCTTGAACAACTCCACACCGCTGTGCAGAGTTTTAAGGATCGGTTCAAAGCGGATACAGAATCGTAATACAGAAGGTTCATACCATGGCAACATTACGTGAAATTAGACGGCGTATCGCAAGTATTGAGAATATCGCGCAGGTGACAGGCGCGATGCGAGTCGTCGCTGCGGCGAGGTTACGCCGGGCACAGGAAAATATTGTAGCCACCCGTCCCTTCGCCGAAAAATTCAATACAATCCTAGGACACCTTATCGCTCAGATCGAAAATCCGTCCCATCCCTTGCTGGAATCGCGTGAACTTAAGCGCGTTTGCCTAATCTCAGTCTCCGCAGACCGTGGGCTATGTGGTAGTTTTAACAGCAACGTAATCCGAACAACGACGCAGCGGGCACAACATTACCAAGCACAGGGAGCGGAAGTGACGGTCATCTGTGTCGGCAGGCGCACCCGAGACTATTTCGCACGGCGCGATTATAACGTTATCGCTGAGTATGTGAATATCTTTCGGCAACTAGCATTTGAAACCGCTGTCGAAATTGTGGAGGAGTTTGAACATCTATATAGGGACAAGCAGGTCGACAGGGTGGAAGTGATTTATAACGATTTCAAATCCGCGATTCTGCAAGTAGTTTTGGTCGAGCAACTGCTGCCACTTACCCCTGAAGTACCAACCGGCGATGAACTCTTCCTCGATTATCTATATGAGCCAGAACAAGAGGCGATTTTTCAGTCCGTGTTGGCAAAACATCTGAATATGCAGATGTGGAAGGTTCTGTTGGACTCCAACGCCGCAGAGCAAGCGGCGCGGATGGCGGCGATGGAAAATGCAACGCGCAACGCCAATGAACTTATTGATGATTTAATTCTTCAGCGTAACCGCGCTCGCCAGACCCAGATTACCACAGAGATTTCTGAGATTGTGAGCGGTGCGGCGGCTTTGGAAGGTTAAAATCCTCAAAGTGAGAAGTGTTCTCAAGGTATGAAGAGGAAGCGAGCTATGAGCGTACAGAAACCCATTATCATCGATCAAGCAGAACTCGCTTGGGAAGGTTGGGACGACGCGGACCTTGCCGCCAAGAGTGAGATTCGCTGGAAGCTTCTGGTTACCGGAGAAAGAGGACCGAGCAGCGGGCTCGTTATGGGCGTAGCGGAGTGTCCCACCCGGCACGCGACTCCCCCTTCACCACCACGAGCCAGAGGAGACATATTACGTCGTCAGCGGCAATGGCCACATGAAAATCGACGGTCACGAAGCGGAGATTGGACCGGGTTCGGCGGTCTACATCCCGTCCAACGCGAAACATGCTGTCCGCTGTATCGGCACCGAGTCGCTGGTCTTCGTGTTCTCCTTCGCATGTGACCGCTTTGACCAAATAGTTTACCATTTTGATGAGTAAGTGCCGACTTGAGGTAGGCGTAATTGGAGAGGAAAACATGCCCTACAACGTCAGCAAACAGATTCAAGAAGCGATGGAGCGGGGCGATTTCAAGGACCTACCCGGTAAGGGGAAAGCCTCAACAGCGCGATGATAATCCTTATATCCCGCCAGCAGTCCGTATGGTCAATCAGATGCTCAAGGATAACGGCTTCGCGCCGCGCTGGATTGAGGTAGACAAAGAAATTCGAGCCGAAACCGAGAAGACGGAAAAATTAATAGCAAATATCAAAGGACGACGGGCGCGTTTGAAAGCCAAACTCCGAGCGCAACCCCTAAAACGCGATGCGATTCGGTCGGCTTTTGACTTGGAACGCACACGGGCATTGGAAGCATACACCATTCAGTTAGAACAACTCAATAAGAAAATCCAACAATGGAATCTCATGATCCCACTGCGCGATAAACAATATCCACTACATAATCTTGATGCAGCGACCGCCTATTTTCACAAGCAGTGTCCCGGACTTTAATTTTACTATGATGAAACCGTAAAACCCAAAGATATGTGAGTCAAAGACTTACACCTAACCGTTAATCTGCTTTGCACCAAAGGAAACTAATTGATGAAGTTCAAATTAGGAAGTATGTTTATAGTTGTTCTGATAGAGCTAGTCGCTTTAAACGGTTGTGACATCGGCGTGGATATGGTGATGGACACGATGTCATCCACGGATACCGGGATGGAAGACGTAGTGGATGCGATGTCATCCACGGACACCGAGATGACTGATGCAACGGACATGGTACCTCCTATGGATGAGATAGTTGACGCCCCACCTGATATGGCAGTGAAGTTGGTGTGGTTAATCAGCTATCCGTTCGGTGGGAAAGATGCCTATATCGCATGGGTTGCTTCTGTTGCGCCGACATTGCAAGCCCCCGAAGAGGTCAAACGGGTAGCATCTTACGATAACTACTATGGTGAGACCCCACATCGACTCGTGGAGTTTGAATTTGATAGTTTCGCGGATGCGTCGACATATCTGAATCGTCCCGATATCGCTGCGGTCCTTGAGGCACTTCCAGATCACAGCAGCGAGGTGAGCACACATGTATATGTTCAACGCTCCGATTACTCGAAAAACCAAGCGGCTTCCCGGAAGATTAAATCTGTTTACTTAATTGACTATCCGCTTGGTGGAAAAGACGCGTATCTGGAGTGGGTTGCGTCTATTGCCCAGTCACTGCAAGACCCCGAAGAGATCAAACGGATAGCATCTTATGACAATTATTATGGTGAGAATCCACACCGGCTCGTGGAGTTTGAGTTCGATAGTATCGAAGATGCGAATTCTTACCAAGAACGGCCAGAGTTACAGGCTGTTAATGCTGAACTGCCGAATCGGGCAGGTAGTGTGACGCTGCTTACGTTTGAATTACGTTCAGATTATGTCAACGAATAATCGCTGAGATTGGCACCGGCTCCTTGAGCGGACCTACGGATCTCAGGGAGCCGTGCCTCCACTCACACAAAATGCAAAATCTACCATAAAATTCAACTTCGTCGAAGCGTTCCTAAAAAAATAACATCGCAGATTATAATCCAATGGAAGTTTAGCACAGTCTTATTAACTATATGAAATTGGTAATATAAATAATTGATGGAAAGAGAGATAAATCATGAATGACGGCAAAGTTTTAGAAATCGTCGGTGCACGAGTTGACCTCGATTTTTCAGAGGGGAAATTGCCCGATATTCTCAACGCAATCGAAGTTCAGCGCGCGGATGGAACGACATTAGTGCTTGAAGTCCAACAGCACTTGGGTGAAAATCGAGTTCGTGCTATCGCAATGGACACAACCGACGGATTGGTACGCGGTACACGTGCCATCGATCGCAATGAGCCGATCTCTGTACCTGTGGGCGATGCCGTGCTCGGTCGTGTTTTCGACGTTACCGGGCAACCGATTGATGGAGGGGACGAGGTCGAAGCAACACAGCGGTATCCCATCCACCGCCATCCACCGCCTCAGGAAGAACTGAGCACCGTTTCCGAAATGTTAGAAACCGGAATCAAGGTGATTGACCTGGTTCAACCGGTTGCAAGAGGTGGAAAGGTCGGCTTCCTCGGCGGTGCGGGTGTCGGAAAAACGGTACTGGTCGCTGAACTGATCTATAATATCGCAACCCAACACGGTGGTTACTCCGTTTTTTGCGGAATCGGAGAGCGGACTCGCGAAGGGAATCAGTTTTGGTTGGAGATGGACGAGTACGGTGTAATGGATAAAACCGCCATGGTTTTTGGACAGATGAACGAACCGCCGGGCGCCCGGTTGCGCGTCGGGCTTGCTGGACTCTCTATGGCAGAATACTTCCGTGATGAGGGCGGGACAGGATGTGTTGATCTTTCATCGACAATGTTTTCCGCTTTACCCTCGCAGGCGGTGAGGTCTCCGCGCTTTTAGGGCGTATGCCTTCCGCGGTCGGATACCAGCCAACACTCGCAACGGAGATGGGGGAACTACAAGAGCGAATTACATCGACAAAGCAAGGCTCAATTACCTCATTCCAAGCAGTTTACGTTCCGGCTGACGACTATACAGACCCAGCGGTTGTCGCCGTTTTTGGGCACCTCGACGCCGTAACACGGCTTGAACGCTCAATCCAGCAGATGGGACGCTTCCCCGCCGTTGACCCGTTGACCTCTACCTCCCGTATTTTGAACCCGGACGTTATCGGTCAAGTACACTACGACACGACCCGTCAAGTGAAGGCGGTGCTTCAGGATTATGAGAGCTTAAAGGACATTATCGCAATTCTCGGTGTGGACGAACTCTCAGACGAGCAAAGACTAACAGTTTCACGGGCAAGAAAGCTAGAGAAGTATCTGACGCAGCCGATGTTTGTTGCACAACGCTTTACTGGCAAACCCGGAAAATATGTCAGGATTGAGGACACCGTTGAGGGCTGTCAAGCAATTCTCAGAGGAGATTGCGACGAAATTCCTGAACAAGCACTGGCTTACATCGGTACGATTGATGAAGCATTTGAGCAGGCAAAATCCGAGGAATTACAAGAGGCAGCGGATTAATCAACCAGATAACTATGCTTGAAAAAAGATTACATCTCGAAATCCGAACACCCGAACAGTTGATTTATGAGGGCGAGATTACTAGTGTGAGAGCCCCCGGTGAACTGGGATCGTTTGAGATCCTTGCTGGGCACCTCCCCTTTCTGACTGTGCTAGATATTGGCGAAATTCGCATCAGCGAATCTGAGGCACCTCAATCCATCGCAACCAGTGGGGGTGTCTTTGAGGTATTACGCACCGGCGTCACTGTGTTGGCAGATGCCGCTGAATGGGCGTATGAAATTGATGTCGAACGCGCGGAAGCCGCTCGTCAACGTGCACAGGAGCTCCTTGCTTCACGCGATCCAAATGTTAATCACACACGAGCAGAAGCGGCATTGGCTCGCGCTACAAATCGATTAAGGGTGGCGGGACAACAGTAGTTCTTATTAGTCGATGTTTGATTTATGAAAGGGGAAACAGCAGACAAATCTGTTGTTTCCCCTTTTTTGCTTTGAGAAAGGAACAGATCATGCCAGTTGGTCAACTCCAGTACTTTCGATCCAGAATTGACGGCAAGTTACACCCCTGTGCGGTATGTTCAACTGATACAAGAGACGAACCGAAGCCCTTAATTGTAGAGGTCAGTCCTGGCGCACTGGGGAATCTATCCGGCGCAGTCGAGTTGACTGAACAGATTGCAGGGATTGCTGCTAAACACAATCAATCGTGTATCGTCCTCAGACCAACAGGACGGGGTTCCGGTTCTGTTTATCAAAACTACGGCGAAATCGATGTCCTAGAAGCTATCGAACATGTCGCCTCAAATTACGCCATCGATCGAGATCGCATTACAATCACCGGCAGCTCGATGGGTGGTGCCGCAACGTGGTATCTGATCTCGCACTATCCTGATCTTTTCGCAGGTGCTGCGCCGTTTTGCGGTTATTGCGACTATCGACTGTGGGAAAAGCCGGGAGGACTCACGTTCCACATGCACGAATGGGAAACACCCTCTTGGTGTTCTAGGTCTGCTGCATTTCTCATCGAAAATCTCTCTCATACGCCTGTTTGGATAATCCACGGTGAATGGGATCGGGGGATCGGCGGCGGTGTTCCGGTTGAGCATTCCCGTCAAATGGCACAACTTATGGGAGAGCGGGGCTATAGGCACAAATATACAGAGGTCCCTAAAACGGGTCATGGATGCCGCCTCCCTGATATATGGGAAGAAGTAATCCTTTGGCTGCTGAAGCAGCGGAAGCAGCGATCTCCGGATCGCGTTTCACTGGCAACCTATAATCTGCGTCATAATAAATCATACTGGGTCGTGGTAGATCAGTTGTTACACTACGGTGAGCGAGGAGCGGTTAATGCGTATTTCGTCGAGGACAACCACCTCGTCGTCGATACTGAGAATATCCGCACCTTCTCGCTTGGACCAATTCAGAAGAACGAACCGGTCGATGTAACAATTGATGGCCAAAAGTTTGAACTAATGAACTTAAGTCATCAGAATCAGTTTCAACGAGGTCCTAAAGGCGTTTGGGCGCATGGCAATTTTGATCTCTCCACTGAGAAGCGTCACCGGGCATCGGGCCCCATAAGCAATCTTTTTTTCGATGGTCTTATCCTTGTGCCCGGCACAGTTGGGACAGAGGAAGAAACATTTTTTAACAAATGGATTGCCGAGAACGCGGTCGGATACTATCGCAGTCGAAATGGGGGAGTACATCGCGGTGGTATCATGGGGGATAATGCTGTCCAACTCCCTGTCATCCCTGACGTTGAGCTCACCGAAGATCTCCTGCAAACGAACAACCTGCTCCTATACGGCGTCTATGATTCTAACGCCATCCTATCGCGATTTGAAGGTAAGCTGCCACTTAGCTTTCAAGGCGAGACAATCCACCTATCCGATAAATCGTACACGGCGGAGAGGACAGCGGTTTTCGCCGTATTTCCTCACCCTTCAAATCCAGAACGCTATGTCGTGGTGCACGCTGGGACCACACCGGATGCAATATGCTGGGGAAGTCATCTTGATATGCAACTCCTGCCTGATTACATTGTCTATTCTGGAGGACAACTCCTTGACTGGGGATTTTGGGGGAATGATTGGAAATCCCAATAATGGTCGATCCTTGGAGGGACACCGCCGCTTCTGCTAGAGCAGTTCTACAGAAGATTGTCGCCACACCCCTACACTAACCAAGTATTTGACAGCTCCCAAACCTGAAGGCTTGGGATTCTTATGATAGACTGACCAGTAGCGGTTGCTCTGTGCTATCTTCTTGATTCGACGATTCGTGCCTCAACTGCTGAGGTCTTACAGAATCTCCACAAGCGTTTATACTCTCCGTGTGTCCCACGGCGAGGTTTTTCAGATTTATTGCAGCGTTTAGGTCCCTGTCTTGGGTGTGACCACAAGCACTGCAATGATACGTCCTATCGGACAAGGATAAGTCGCTGTCCACTACACCACACACTGAACAGGTTTTACTCGACGGGAAAAACCTATCGGCTTCAACTATTTTTACACCGATTCTATCAGCTTTGTCCTTCAAAAACGTGAGGAACGTTGATAGGCTTGCATCCGACAGTGCTTTTGCAAGTCTATGATTGTTTAGCATTCCTGATACGTTCAGCGATTCGATGCCTATCCGTTTTGCACTATTAGCGATTGTCGTCGTTGCTTTGTGGTGGGCATCTCTACGGACGCAGGTGATGCGATAATGTAACTTGGCTATCTTGTCTTTGAGTTTATGCCAGTTACCGCTACCTTTGACCTTACGGCTAAATTGCCGTTGTAGCCGTTTGAGTTTTCGCTCGTATCGCTTCAACGCTTTCGGATTCTCAAAGTATTGTCCCTCAGACGTGACAGCCAAGTAGTTGATTCCGACATCAACACCAATTACGGGAAAGCCCCTAATCTCAGGTGTAGCATCGTCCGAAAAGGTATCTACAAGAATAGAAGCGAACCAACGATGTGCAGTCTTGGATATAACCACCTTACAGATTGTGCCGTGGAAGCGTAGGGGTTGACACATACGGACCCAACCAATTTTGGGAAGTTTAATCCGCCGACCTACAACAGGAGTTGTCCCTCGACCACTATCTGCTTGGTAACTTGACCGTGTGACCGCTTCTTAAACTTAGGAAAACGATTCTGTCCTGATTTCCATCTGCCTATGGCGTTGTTCAGATTGTTGTAAATCGCATGCTTTGAAGCGTTTTGTGACATTTCACCACACCAGTCGTACTGCTCGTGTTTAATAGCATTGAACCGACGGCAGAGGTCTATATGAGAACGCCAATCGCCCTCGGACAATCCTTGCTTAAAATCGGCTAAGGCGTGATTGTATGCAACACGAGCATATCCACAATGTTGAGCGAACTGTGTCGCTTGGACATTGTTTGGATCTAAAGCGATTTTATGAGTTTTTAACATGGGATTGTCTTTCTGTCTTTTGATTCCTATGTCGTAGGGTATGGGAGACACCGCCAAGCGACGGTGCGACATTCTCCCACTGAAAGACAAGACAGTTATACCATTTTTTCACACAAAAACACAACAAAAATTAACACTTGGGACCCAAGCATAAAGGCTTGGGCTTGCCTAAATGACTGTCATTTTTTCTTGACACTCAATACACTAGCTAGTATACTACCAATTGACCTCACTGAACTTAAAAGTTTAACTTTTTATCTAAGACAGGCAATCTAAATCGTGAAAAAGCTATTCTTTTGCACACTAATCATATTGATTGCAGCCAGCTATAGCTCCGCACGCATTATAGACCCGAAGACAGGTGCCGAGTTCAGATATAAAGCAAGACTGGTAGAGGTTGCTCCTGTGGTTGATGGTTTTCTTGACGACCCAGTATGGGACGATGCTATATCTGCCGCCCTAGACCATGATGTCAAAGAGGATCGGCGTTGGGAAGATCTTAGTGACTTCAAAGCGACTTTTGCTGCTGTATGGCGCAACGCCTCTCTCTACATAGCCATTGAACTGACCGATGATCAAATCGAAACCGCTCACGAAAAACTCACCATGCAAGACCGCCTAGAGATCTATCTAGATATAGGACATTCGGGCCAGCAGAGCGACCTATCTCGCTACACACTTCCCGTTGGAAAAGACGTCATGGCGGCTGGTAATCAGGGACTGTTGGTTAATTGGGGGAATGGGGGGCAATCCGTAGAATTGAGTTTTGACTTGATGCAGACACCGAGGAAAGAGGATACCATCAGCTTTGGGATTTACTATTACGACGTAGATGACGATCGCCTGAATCACAAACTTCGCTGGGGTCCAGCCGGACAAAGTGAACCGGAAGATGCCCTTGCGGATCTGGTATTTACAGCGAATATAAGGTTAAACGCAAACCAAAAAGCGATACAATGGGGGCGCATCAAACAACTTTATTAATCATCGTGCAACAGCCCGATGCAGTCAGGCGATTGACACCGATGCCTCAAGACTCAAGCGCGCGGAGCTCACAGTGTTTATCATCGGTAAAGTATTAGAATTGATAGGAATGTCGCTTTTGGGAGCGGGGTTATATGTTGGGTGTATCAACCCCTATGGCTTGAGTGAAGGCGGTGCTATGGGCGTAGAGATAACTTCCCTCGTGGTAGGGATCTTAATCTTCTTCATAGGCAGAACGATAGAGAAACGCTAATCGTGCTCGCACGGCATACTGGCTTTTTAAGAACATAACCTTTTGAAGTCAAAGATTTATTTTAGCACTTATACATATTCAAGCATCGAGTGCATCCCCTCGATGCTTTTTTGATGTTCATATTTAGCGGAGGAATATAGATGGCGTTTAATGTCAAAAAACGTGGGAAATTGACCTATTACTATCAAGGAGATCATCCGGTGTTGTCTCCTTTGGTCACCGAGACGTTGCCAGACGGGGATCTGAAAATCTACTTTTCGGGTCTAACGGGAGGATATTCGGCAAAAGGAGTCCTGAACCTCGATGAACTGGTCTCGATGGATCCAGAGCAGGAGATCCCACTGGTATTCAAAAGTTGGGAGTCTTGGTTGAAAGAAGCGGGTATTTGTGATTCTCTGAGGGACGTAGATTTCATTGAGGTTCACGCCTTCGGTTGTCAGCCCAAAGCTCCAAATCCGCTCGTCGATCCGGCGGGTTACGCAGCAGAGCAGGAACGGCTACGCAAAGCTTATGCTCAAGCGTATAGTAGTTTTTTCCGTGACTACCTACCGGAAAACGGTGTGCCTGCTCGGTTCACAGTCCATGTAGTTGATGTTCCAGATACAGCAGCTTCCTATGAGTTTTATGGAACCGCACTCTACCAGAAAGCACTACAAAAATAGATTCGCAAGGTTTAAGAGGTGACACGTTTTCCCTGCGGGGCTGTAAAATGATCGGTCTGAAACCTCTCCTGTCCTTCATCTGCATTGTATTAATCGTACTAACCGGCTGCGGTGAAAAACGCGAAAAACAGGAGAAACCTGATGAATGGCACAAGCCCTCCCAAGCTGATTTCGCGATTCCGCCTTACGCCCGTTACCTTGAAGGAATCAAAATCTGCCTCGACCCAGGACACGGTGGACAGGCTCACCTGCCGAATTACAAGCGCGGACCAACCGGGCTCCGCGAGGCAGAGGTGAACCTGCGCGTGGCACTGTATCTGCACGAATTCCTGACCGAGGTCGGTGCGATTGTCTTCATGACGCGCACCGATGATTCCTTCGTCAGTATCTCGGACCGCAGTAAGCTCGCCAACAAGAACGTTGTTGATTTTTTTATCTCCCTCCACCACAACTTTTTCAGTAACCCCGAAACCAATTACACCTCTACATGGTATCATCAAGATGCAGATGATTCCCGCACAAGCTTGGACCTCGCCCGCTATGTGCAGCAGAGTGTCGTTGATACGTTGCAGCTGCCGCAATTTCCGCCAACAGGGCTTTATTCAGATCGATTGGTAATCCCTTCGGGGTTCGGTGTACTACGTCAGACGAAGCGACCCGCCATTTTGTGTGAAGCGTCGTTTTATTCCGACCCTGAAGAAGAGCAACGTTTGAAAGAGAAGTCATACAACAAGCGCGAGGCTTACGGCTATTTTCTTGGTATTGCGCGCTACGTTGCGGCGGGGTTGCCGAAGGGCATCCTGCTGACACCAGCACCAGAATCATCTGTCGAAACAAAAACACCGCGCATCCAGATTCGTGTAGCAGATGGCTTGCATGAGCGCGGCGCATGGATGCTCAAGCGGCAACAGGTCTTCTCCGATTCCATCCGCGTCAAACTTGATGGCACTGTCGTTCCCCACCAGTATCTCCGCACCGAAGACCTTATTGTGGTTACCCTACCGAAGCCACTCTCCAACGGCGTACATCTTGTCGAAACCGATCTTGTCAACTACTACGGAAATCATAGCTTGCCGAACAAGCAGTGGTTCAAAGTTGTCCCACCTGCTGCAAAACTGAAACTCCGCGCATGGACGAAAACCCTTCCCCCCGATGGTGCAAGCTACGTCGGCATCACCGCCACCGCCTTGGACAAAAACGGTCTACCAATCGCAGATGATGAACCAATTCATGCTCAGACATCGCTTGGGCGACTCGCTGAGACCGAAAGCACTTCACAGAACGGAGAAGCACGATTTTACCTACACACAGACGCGACGCAGCCGCAGTCAGGTCGCGCACAGGGTGAAAGTTGCTTACAAAGACAAATCAGCAACCATCACCATCCGTTTTGAGAAAATCCACGGCGGGATTGTTCAGGGCAGCGTCCACGATGTTTTTGGAAGCACCATCACAGATGCAGCCGTGCAGTTAAGAAAAAAGAAAAGAACAACAACGACTAACCCAGATGGTCACTTTTTTTTCGATAACGTTTTGCCGGGGGACGCAACCCTTAACGTCTCAAAAGCTGGCTACTACAACCTCCGACTGGAGACCAACGCGACTTCAAACAGTGCACAGGTCCTCCATCCCCAATTACATCCGATTGCAGACGGTACGCTTATTGGGAAAGTTTTCGTCCTAGACGCACGCTACGGCGGTTCAGAGCGAGGAACGCCCCCCTTTCCCCCCCGCTAGCGGGGAGGAAAGGGGGGGGTGCTCCCGCAGATCTTAATCTCGCCGTGGCTAAAGCACTCAAGGAGATGCTGGAACTTGCCGGGGCAAACGTTTACCTTGTTCGAGAAAAAGATGAGAAGATCCCTGTCTCGAAACGGGTCAAGTAATCAATGCCGTTAAACATGACGGATACTATCTCCGGATTGATCACGGTGCCCGGGTCAAAGGCGAACCATCGGTAATCGCTACAGGTTATCCGGGGAATCAGGTTGCGGAGGATTATCTTAAAGCGATACTTGAGGGATTTAACACGACACTTTTTCAGACGCCAATTGAAACGTTTGGAGATGAAGAATCGCCGGAGATTCGGTCAACTAACAAAATAGCACTCGCGCTCGAAATTCGTTCTATCAATCATCCACATCTCCATGAACCTGTGGACTCTCCTGCCCTGATCGCACAGGAGGCGTACGCAATCTTTTCTGGGAACGTGGAAATTTTTGAAAAATGCTCAATTGGCTGACGAGGGACTCAACCCCCGCACAATAGGTGAAGTCTTACCTAAAAAGGCACTTAAAATTCAGGTTGTTAATGGGACTTCACGGCAGCCTGTTGCTGGGGCAAGAGTCGCCTTAGACGACACCTTTCCGTTAGTAACAAATCAAGCTGGAAAAACCACTTTCACGGGGTTCATGCGCGCCGATATCGCATTGCGGTTGAGGCAGCGGGGTATGCTGGTCAGACAATTGAATCGGATTTTCCGAATTCAGGCTCGATATTAGTAGAAATGAGGCACTAAAAGAATCGGCGAAGCAACAAACAAGGCAAAACGGAATCGCGGTTTGTAACATTCTTTTCTGATTGCAGGGTTCGCCGGAGCATGATGAGATAGGGTTTGCCATGAAAAATGTCTTAGTCATTGATGATGATGAAAAAATCTGTTGGGCTTTCGAGCAATTTTTGACAGATGAGGGACACCGATCCATTATCGCTAACAATGCAGAGGAAGGCTTGCGAAAGATTCAGTCGGAAACGCCTGATATCGTTCTGCTCGATGTACGATTGCCCGGCATGAATGGGCTTGAAGCACTGAAGCAGATCAAAGTTTTGCAGCCGGATGCAGTCGTGATCGTGATGACCGCGTATGACAATGTGGAGACAACCATCCAAGCTATGCAGCTGCATGCGTTTGATTTCATCCCCAAGCCAATCGATCTGGATCAGGTGAAAGCCATTATCGATCGCGCCACACAGATGCAAGTTGAGCGCAGTAAAATGCCGCCTACTGAACTCCCCTCGGCAGAGGTTGAATTACCGGTGCAGCCACAGGAACATCGCTTAATCGGTAGAAGCCCACAGATGCAGGAGATTTATAAACTAATCGGGATGATAGCGAATAACACTGTCACGGTGCTGATAGAGGGTGAAAGTGGAACAGGAAAAGAGTTAATCGCACGCTCAATCCATTCAAACAGTTCACGAAAGGATAAAACCTTCGTCCCTGTCAACTGTGGCGCACTCCCCGACGATCTGCTTGAAAGCGAACTCTTCGGCTATGAAGCAGGCGCATTTACAGGGGCAAATGCCAAAGGTAAACCCGGCAGGTTTGAACTCGCAGATGGTGGTACGCTGTTTCTTGATGAGGTCAGTAATATGAGCCCGGCACTACAGGTAAAACTGCAACGGGCTTTGCAGGATCAGGAAATCGAAAGGCTGGGCGGCACCCGCCCGCTGAAAGTGGATGTGCGTATCATCGCTGCGACAAATCAGGACCTCGCTGAAGAGGTTCGACTGGGCAAGTTCCGTGAAGATCTCTACTATCGCTTCAACCTACTTTCAATTAATCTCCCACCGTTGCGCGAGCGGGCTGCCGATATCCCGCTGCTGGTCAACCACTTTCTACAGACAGCCGGTGTCGAACTTGGGCAAAACGTCCGAGGGCGTTTCGCCACGATCTATGGAACTCTTACAGCAGTACAATTGGCCCGGAAATGTGCGGGAGCTAGAGAACACCGTTAAAAGCGCGGCGGTACTTTCACGGGCAGACGTTATCCTGCCAGAACATCTTCCGCCAGAAATTTTGAATTACAAAGGGATGCGCGAATCAACTCAATCTCGTCTCGAAATAGTACTTGAATCGGTATTGAAAGAAACCGTCAGAGACGCTGTAGCACAAGCACATGAAGCACTCTACGATGAAGTCATTGATGCCGTTGATTGTACGCTAATCAAGTGCATCCTTGAGGAAGTCGAAGACAACCAGACGAAATCAGCAAAACTCCTAGGAATCAGCCGTACAACGTTATTGCAGAAGATTAAAAAATTGGGGATCGAAGTGAAGGCATGAACAGATGGCTGATACCTTTGATCACATTTGTATTCCCCGCAAAATGCCGACGCTGTGAAACACCAATGGGCGTAGGTAAGGTGCACTACCTATGTGATACCTGCTGGGAACAGATTGAATTGCTCAAGCCTCCTTGGTGTCGGATTTGCGGGCTGCCGGGGTGGAGTGCTGTTTGTGCAGATTGTGGTGAGCCTCCCCCATTATTTAGGAGACTTCGCACGGTTGCCTTTTACGAACCCACCCTGCGTGAAGCCATCCATCTGATGAAATATGAGAAGAAACAGGTCATCTCAAAACACCTGATTCAATTGCTGCAAGCGCACCTTCCGGTAGATCTTGCCGCCACAGACTACGATTTCCTGCTCCCAATCCCCCTCCACGCAAACCGTTTTCGGCAGCGAGGATTTAACCAAGCCGAACAAATTGCTCAAGGCGTCGCTCAAGTTTGGGGTGTGCCAGTCCGGACTGATATTCTCCTTCGCATTAGGGACACAGTCCCATTGAGTAGTCTGGGATCCCACGAAGAACGGATGAAAAACATCGCTGGGGCTTTTGAAGTTCGGTCGCCGGATTCTATTCAGAGTCGGAAGATTCTACTGATTGATGATATCTTCACGACGGGAACAACAATCAATGAAGCCCTCAAGGCTCTACAGGTTGCTAGCCCTGACTGCGTTGATGTCCTGACGCTAACCCGCACAAGATCATCAGCATAAAAAAGTATAGATAGGCAAGAAGGTAGGAAGGCTAAAATGCAAGAAGTCCAATTACCGATAAAAAAATATCAAACTATTACAATTATTGCTGCCGTGGTGGGGTTTTTGTTAGGAACACTGATTCCCGCTTTTGCTTTTGGTAAGGGGTACTGGTCGTGCCCATTTGGGGAGGGCGTGATACGCCCCGGCGTGTTTGTTCTGTTGACAGGTATTTTGAGTTCGTTTCTTACCGGTAATGCAGCTGCCCTTCTTGTGATTTTCATCACGAGATTGCGCAGGTCGTCAACCAAACTCAAGTAGAAGGCAATTCCGATTCCCGACCTGTCGCGATTTGGAAGGTACGCCCCCTACTGCATGTCCAATTTACTATAGGCAACTACAATGAAGCAGATTGACCACCATCAACGGTAGTAACGCTTCCGGTCATATAGCGAGATGCGTCAGAAGATAGTAGTAGCAATACCCCGTCAAGGTCTTCAACCTGCCCCAATCGGCGTTGGGGAATGCGCTTAATCAGGCGTTGACCAACCTGCGTAGTGAAGAATTGACGGTTCATATCGGTTTCAATATAACCGGGCGCAATCGCGTTGACCCGTATCCCATGCGGTGCTAACTCGACCGCCATCGCTCGTGTCAGGTTGATGATGCCGCCTTGGAAGCGCAGTATCCCCGGCAATTGTGAGATTCCACGTTCTCCGAGCACCGACGCGATATTGATGATGCTCCCGCCCTGTCCCCGGTGAACCATGCGTCGTGCGACCTCCTGTGCCATCAGCCAAACCCCCTTGAGATTTGTGTCAAGCACCGAGTCCCAGTCCTCTTCGGCGTGTTCAAGCAGTGGCTTAGTTACAGCAATACCGGCGTTATTGACGAGAATATCAATGGGGCCAAGCGTCTTCTCCGCTGTTTCGACGCATGCCCTTACGCTCTTGCCGTCGGTCACATCAACTTGGATCGCAACCGCACAACTGCCGAACCCTTCGATTTCCTTGACAGCCGCCTTCAACCGGTCAATCCCACGGGCAGCCAGAGCCACTTCTGCGCCTGCTAGCGCCAGTGTAAGGGCGAAATGACGGCCCAGGCCCCGCGATGCGCCGGTTACGATTGCACGCTGACCGGTGAGGTCAAACACAGACGGACTTTTCCCCACTTCCATCGTTCGGTTCCTCTCTTTCTCCGGACAGGCATAACTGTGAACTCTCGAAACGGAATGTTCCGCTCCGCTATGTGTTATTCTCTATCCCCGCTGCTTGTTTAGCCAAAGATTTACACCGTTCTAAGTCATACTCCCTATAAATGGTAATCTTTTGCGCTTCAAGGGAGCCTTCGGCATGGATGGGCAAGAAGTTCGTTGTAACCACCAAAATCAGAAGCGGTCAGGTCCCGAATCAGGTTCACCAACTTGAGGCGATCTAACGTTGGAACCCCGCGGCTCCGCCCAAGTATTTTTCGATATAATCTCGGGTTTCAGGGTTTGTGACATCTTCCTCCGAAGGTCCAGTGACCACAAGCCCGCCGGCGATATCCTGCACGTAACTAATCATCTGATGGTAGTTACTGGCAAAGTAAAATTTAGCCACGTTGGTGATAATCGAATTGGGAATCGCCACGCCATCGATCTGGACGCAATCAACAGCGGCGGCTTTACTTAGGGCGCGAACCGTTTCGGCATAGTTAATCAGGTGCATCAACTTCTCCCGAACATGGCTTGCGCGGCTGATGCCGTTGTGTTCCGCGATTAATGCGGCGGCACCGGTCAAAAGATCACACAGCGGTGGCTTATAAGAGACGGCAGTAAATCGGTGGAATTGGACGAAGGTGGTGGCTAACCCACCCGCAAAATCCCATTCCCCATTCATGAAGACCCGCTCCTTGGGAACGAAAACGTCGTCGAAGATTGTAAGGCTTTCGATCATTCGGTGATGGGAACTGACAGGGTTATGGAAATCGCTGGATGACGAAGCACCAAAGGGACTGACAATCATCTTCAAGCCGGGGGTATTGGCGGGGACAGCAAAGGCGACAGCATAATCTTTATCCTGCTCTGTCAGATTCCGTGTTGGCAGTACAATGATCTCGTCCACATAGGGAGCGCAGGTGGTATGCGCTTTCGCCCCCCGGACAACTATCCCATCGTCTCGCTCTTCAACGACACGCACGTAGTAATCCGGATGCGTCTGCTCAGAGGGGGCAAGGCTTCGATCGCCTTTCACATCGGTCTGCGCAACTGCCATGCTGAGGTCTTCCTGCTGACAGTGCTGATGGTACGCCTCCACCCGCTTGAGGTAGTCCGTACCATACCCCTCATCAATCCGTTTGGCGACCAAGGAGAGGGCAAAGAGCGCGTTCCGTCCGATCTCTTTGATTAGCAACACCACCCCGCTGCCAAGCCGAGTACTGGTTTCGATCATCTCGCGCCGTTTTAGCAGATCGTCTGTGTTGGTGGGGCTTACAAAATATCGACTGATCGTTTCGCCCGTTTCAGGAATTTTGACGGTCATCAAATCCCGATACGCCGCATCCTCAGCGAGCGCGAAATCGAGCGAGGCGTGCTCCGCCCCAACACCCAAATCTGGATGACGGGTGACATCTTCTACGCGATTCCCCTTAAAAAATAGTGTCCGACCGTCGTTTAGACCTGCCTTGTACTCCGCCACCGATCGAGTTGCCATACTCCACCTCCCCCCAATCCTCACGCTTTGGATACGCGTTATATTCCCAGACTATCGTTAATTTCGCTCTGATAATCGTCGACCTGCTCGGCAAGCATCTCATCAATAGTGACGATCGTCCAATCTCGCCGGACTCCAATATCCCATAGGAGACAGCCACAGATCGCGTTCCCTGTGCGGCGTCCACTTCAACCTGATGCTCTCCTGCTATAGCCTGTGCAAAATCCCCATATTCGATAGCGATAATCTTCCGATCCGTTTCAGGGAACGGGAATTCGTAACGCCACACCGATCTCCACCCCACAAATCTGATGTCACTGCATCAAGCCGAAAGTCGGGGACATACTCTAGTATCTTCTCATCATCGATAGGGGATTCGCCATCAATGTTTAGTACGATATTCCCTCCGCTGCGATCTCCGGGTAAGCTCATCGAACCACGCGAGCCATAAACCTGTCGTGACCACACACCCTGACCACGTCCGGCGTGATCTTCGATGTACTGACCGACCGCACCGTTTTTGAAAGTCAACGTTGCGTAAGCGGCATCCTCGGCGGTCGCCTCAAATTCGGCGGGCATCTCTACCTGCCAACGCCCATAGACACCGCCGGGATTCGACCCGGCTTCGCCACCGCCTGCTGCGGGATTCTTGCGGATAGGTTCATGGAGCCTTGTCTTTGCGTACACCGTTTCAATATCACCGAGTAGATATTCCATCATATCCGAATGGTGAACACCGACATCAAGCAGTACACCGCTTTGGTCCTTCTGGTGACGCCATACGGAGATCAACATCCGGTCGCCGCCGCCAATAGCGTGGTGGATGAGAAAGCGCGGGGCACCAATGACCCCCGCGTCTATTAGGGCTTTCGCCAAACGGTTGATGGGGTCACGCCGATAGTTCTCTGCCACGCTTAAAATCGCGTCAGACCCTTCCGCTGCACGTGCGATGAGGTTACACGCACGGACGGTCAACCCCATCGGGTTTCTCGACCATCGTATGCCAACCCCGTTCCAACGTCTCGACAGCAACCGTGTGGTGGTATCGCGGCGTTGTCGTGACATCAACCGCTTCAACATTCAGCGCCGCCAGCCCATCCAGATCTTCAACGACAGTTGGTCGCTCCCCAAAATGTGTTGCTGCTTGATCAGCGAGGGACTCGGCGTTATCGCGTACCGGATCGCATGCCCCAACCAGTTCAAACCGTTCCCATCCCACACGATGCAGCTCTGCAAGCCCATACAGGTGACGGTGCCCCATACCCCCACAGCCAACAATGGCTAATCGAATCTTCTCACTCACTGTTCTTCTCCCATTAAACCGAAATTAAGAATATAGTTCGCTCATTATAAAGAGGGTATGGGCGGATGTCAACACCAAAAAGATTCGAGTTCAGAGCAGCAATCTATCGGAATTGACAATTGCCTTGCAATGCAACTGAGGTTTCTGATAAAATCTATGAACTAAATTGAACCTACCTAATCAAGAAAGTGTGTTGTAATGAAACGGGTGTGTGTATTCTGTGGATCAAGCATGGGAAGTAAACCGGCGTATGCCAAAGCCGCAAAGCAGCTAGGTCAAGCACTAGTAAGTAGAAACCTTGGGCTTGTCTACGGCGGCACAAACGTTGGCACAATGGGCGAACTTGCCAACGCTGCCCTTGCGGACGGTGGCGAAGTGATTGGCGTTGTGCCTAGGATATTCGTCGAAAAGAAAATCGCCCACGCTGCGCTTTCCGACCTGCGAGTCGTTGACTCAATACACGAGCGAAAAGGGTTGATGGCTGAACTTTCAGATGCCTTTATCGCGCTCCCCGGCGGACTCGGCACAATCGACGAACTCTTTGAGATGGTAACATGGACGCAACTTGGTATACACCGAAAACCGTGTGGTCTTCTGAACGTATCTCAGTATTACAACAAGTTAGCGGATTTCCTCGATTATGCGGTCTCGGAGGGATTTATCAAGGAACCCCACCGTTCGATGATACTGATCGATGAAAGCCCGGATGGCGTTGCTCAAGAAGTTTGACAAACTTCTGACCCATTGAATCGATCATAGGATACATAAACCGCTCCTTAGGATTAAAGATGTCGCAAGAACAAAGAAATAGCACGACTCCATCGAATGAACCTACGGCTCTAACTCAGGGAGAATCAGGTGATTCCGTTCTTTCCTCAATTGAGGAACGTCTTATCCAAGCAGATAATCCCCAAGATATTGTTCTCTGGGCCCAAGTGCACGCGGAGATTATACGACAGGATGAGGAAGCAAAAAATCAAGAACATCAACGTTCCTTGGAAAAAGCGCAGGTGCGGTATAAGATGATATTTTCTGTTAGCGCGTTTGTCGTCGGTATAGGAATGCTTATTGGTGGCTTGACTTATCCAGGGTTGTTCATATCAGGAGCAGGACTCTTTGGATTCGTCCCGGACTATGTGAAAGCACTTTTAAGAATTTTCAGAGAAAAAGGTAGAGGAGGAGAAAATGCGGAAGAATAAAGTAGCATATAGTCTAGCAATTGGTGGTTTTTCGCCCTGCTCACAACTGGTTTACTTTTCCTAGTTGCACAAGATAAAATAGCACCTGAAGTCAATCAGGTATTGATTCTTATCGCAGGGATGACTACAGTTGCTGCGTTGACAGCGTTTCAACAATCCGCAGAGAATAGGACGTCATCTTCTTTTGTTCATGTCTCTTTTAATGAGGTGCTCGTGAGCCGGGGTCTTTCCGAAGGATTCACAGCACCTGGTCCGTCGTCCGTTGATGGAGAAAAGGTTGCAGAGCCATGGGATTTAAGTCTAGGGCAGCTCGTTGGTTCAGACAACTCGTTGGCGTTAGCAAAATTGCGGATGGAGCTTGAGCGAGAACTCAGACACATTGCTTACAATAACCAAACGGATATCAGTTCTCGTCCATTAGGGGTTACAGGAATGGCTGAAGAACTTGTGTCTCGAAAAATTTTACCTGCTACTTGGCTTGGAGCTTTGAAGGAAATTACACACGTTTGTAATCAAGCGGTTCATGGCACAGAAGTTCCTGACGATATCGCTGCCTCTGTTGTCAGAGTTGGTGGCCAACTGCTTGAACAACTTCGTTCCGTGCGAAACAACGGAGGCACCTCATGAAAGCCGCCATCTTTGAAGGAACTGGGAAATTAAGCGTACAGGATAAGCCGATCCCATCTCTCGATTCAGGTGATGTCCTAATTAAAGTCGAGCTATGCGGTATCTGCACATCTGACTTGGCAGCACTCAACGGGGACATCACAGACTACTCGCCGCCTGTCGTTATGGGGCATGAACTCGCTGGGGTCGTCGTTGAAAGCCGTCACCCTGATGTGAAAGTTGGCGAGAAGGTGACGGCGAATCCAATGCTCTCCTGCGGAAACTGCGATTATTGCCGGGCAGACCTCGACAAGTATTGCTCGAACATTGAGGGAATGGACATGACATTGACGGCGGATATGCCGAATACCTCCGGATGCCGAAACACGGCATTGACACGGGCAACTTATCTCCGTACCAGACACGATTTCGCCGGAAGAACTGATTTTTCTGGAGCCGTTGGGATGCTGTATCAATGCGATGCGCGAAACAATCTTCGATAAAAGCGTCGCTATCCTCGGCGCGGGTCCCATTGGCTTGATGTTCGCGCAGCTAGCGAAAAAGGTGGGATTGCAGACATTCGTTCTTGAGCCTCTCGCGCATCGGCGCAGTGCAGCAGATGAAGTTGGCGCAGACGCCACATTTGATATTACAGCGGAGCAGGTGGAGACACTCATTGAGCAGACGGGCGGCGGTGTGGATACTGTCATCTCTGCGACGGTCAACAATCAACGTGCGATTGATCTCGCCTTCAAGGTTGTGCGGCGAGGCGGCTGTGTGAATTTCTTCGGGCTGGCACCGGGCGGGCAGGAGCTGCGGATTAACCTTGAACATTTTCATTACATGGGGCACAAACTGATGGCATCGTGGGCATTTTCGCGCTGGAGTTTGAACGAATCCCGTCAGATGCTTATCGACGACGGGATTAACCTCAAGCTGTTGCTGACGGATCGGTTTCCGATTGAGGGAGTAGTTGAAGGGTTTGAAAATGTCCGGCAGCAACGCGGTGTGAAAAGCGTGCTAGTCGGTGGGTAAAAGTACGAAATCGTGTAACGTATAAAAGCGTGTTAGACAAATTGGTTCATTTTCAAGTATAGTACGCAGGAACACACGTCAAGTTACTGACACTGAGCTTATGTTAAACCTGAAATCTGGTCATTTTTATTAATGAGTGAGAGTATGCCCGTCAATGCCAATAAACCGCATCTATGGAAAAATGATGTTACAGCGTCAGTAGATCTCTACAATGATTGGTTCATGCGTTTCGCACCAAAAACGTATCGGGAGGTACGGAAAGAGACAATCGAGCGCGTACAAGAAACAATTCAATTGACGGAGAATCTCACCCTTCTGAATCCGGAGACCTTAAAGGAGAATCCGTCAATACTTCCAACCCTACGGATGTGCACTGCTCCACCGATAGCAAGAGATCGGTTAGTCGGATTGGCTTATGTGAATAAACACTTGGTTCTCTCAATGGAACGGGGGAAGATTCCACCTCGCATGAACGAAGAAAAACTAATTGAGGGGTTGTTATCTATAACCGAAATCTTGACTAAGCTGCTCGACTACGACATCCTCCCTTGGCTCGAAAGGAAAACTGCTCCTACGGATTTGGAACAACATCGGGCGGCTACTATTGTGGCGGATCGGTTGTGTGGAACTGTTTCCGATCCGATTATCCGTAACGCCCAAGAGCAAAGACAACTCGCCTTGATTGCGGCGTATTTGAAGAAACGCAACTACACCGAGCAGCTCCACAAACTCGGACTTTCCTTCAGAGATCTACCGCCCGGCACGTTTGCTTTTCGTTTGAATGTACCAGCTGGTAGAGATAGAACCGTCAATGTACCTGTTGATGTTGTCGTTCAGCCACATGAGTATCATTCAGGTGATTTGCCAATCTTGATTGAAGCCAAATCCGCTGGCGATTTTACCAATACGAACAAGCGACGAAAAGAAGAGGCAACCAAAGTCAATCAGTTACGTGCGCGTTATGGAGAAGATCTCCAATTTATTCTGTTTCTCTGTGGATATTTTGATGCTGGCTACTTAGGCTACGAAGCAGCTGAGGGAATAGACTGGATTTGGGAACATCGAATTGAGGATATGGAGTTACTTGGAATATGAAAATGAAAGCACTCCAACAGATCGAATCTGACCGGCAGAACGCACAGACGAAGCTAGATAGTCTAAAAAGTGCCCCTGAACGTAACAAAATGGGACAATACGCTACCCCTTTCCCTTTTGCACGCGAGATCGTTGAATTTGTCAGAGATACATATTTTTCCGAAACAGATAAGATTCGTTTCCTAGATCCGGCTGCGGGCACAGGGGCTTTTTTCTCGGCAATGCTTCATGCTTTCCCGAAAACGCGGATTGAAAACGCTGTTGGAATCGAATTTGACTCACAAATTGCTTCAATCGCTAAAAATTTATGGACAGCACGGGGACTAGACGTAGTCGAAGCGGATTTTGCAAAATTACCTTTTCCAACCTCCCCCATGTTCAATTTGCACCTTGTCAATCCCCCTTATGTTCGACATCACCACCTCGATCCGGATACAAAGCAGAATCTTCAAGAAAAAATCAAAGCCGCAGTCGGGCTCAACCTGAACGGCCTGGCGGGCCTGTACTGCTATTTTCTTTTAATAGCCCATCGGTGGTTAGCTCAAGATGGGTTTGGCGTCTGGCTTATCCCTTCTGAGTTTATGGATGTTAAGTATGGAGAAATTGTCAAACGCTATTTAATCGAACAGGTTTCCTTGCGGCATATACATCGTTTTGATGCAGAAGCACTGCAATTTGACGATGCCCTTGTTTCCTCAACCGTGCTAATTTTCCAAAAACATAAGCCCGAACAAGAAGGTGAGGTGACTTTTTCCCTAGGCGGCACCCTGAAGGCTCCGCGTATCTGTGCACACATTCGTCAACGGCAGTTAGCACAGGTAAGCAAGTGGACCTCGCTTCCAAGCAAATCAGTGCGGTATGCTGTGCGCGATATCCATCAACTTAATAAAACAACAACAATTGGGGACCTTTTTGAAATTCGTCGAGGACTAGCAACCGGCGCAAACCAGTTTTTTATTTTACCTCGTGATACTGCCAGTGATAAAGGTCTACCCGAACAGTTTCTACGACCAATCTTGCCAAGTCCAAGATATCTGAATAATGAAAAAATATTTGCTGCCGATGACGGTTTCCCACTCGTTCAGCCATCTTTGGTATTGTTAGATTGTGATTTGGACGAAAGTGAGATCGAAGCGTATCCGCCATTAAAGGCTTATCTCGATTGGGGCAAGTCACAAGGATTTGCGGATCGGTACATTGCCCGCCATCGACGGCCATGGTTCAAACAGGAAAATCGACCGGCGGCTCCCATTTTATGCAGCTATATGTCTCGTACCAAGTCAGGGATTCTGGACTGCGATTCTTCCGAAATTATTCGCAAGCAACTAGCCCCAATGTCTATCTGATGCTTTATCCAAATCAAGAGGTGCAGCAAGCTTGCAAAAATAACGCGGACCTCCTCGCTCAGTTGTTCAATTTGTTGAAGCAGACTAAGGATGAATACCTGCTTTATGAGGGGCGAACTTATGGGGGGCGGCCTTAACAAGATCGAACCCAAAGAACTTGCGCGAGTGCCGTTACCCAATGATTCATTACTACACGGGATTGTTGCCAAACCCAAGCAACTCTTTCTACTTGAAAGCGAATCACCATGAACACATTAAAAGCCTATCTTGAATTAATCCGCTATCCCCTCTTTGCGATTCCGATCGCCGCGACGCTACCCGGCGCACTGATCGCTTCAGAGGGTGAGTGGAATTGGCGGGTTGGACTGACGTTGTTAATTGCCCTGCTCGGCTACTTCGCAGGCATGATGAAGAACGACTACTTCCACCGCGAGCAGGATGCCCTTGTGAACCCGGACCGTCCACTCCCATCGCATCGACTTACGCCTCGGCAGGTACTGATTACCGCAAGCAGCACCTACATCATCTGCGTCATCTTGGGATTCACGCTTCACATTAAAGCGGGGCTTTTGGTAGTTGCCCTTGTGATGATTTCCCATTCATACAACGCCTTCTTCAAGGAACGCGGAATATTGGGAAGCATCAGCCTTCCCCTTGGCATCGGTCTACTCAATGTGTTTGGTGCGCTCGCTGTAAGCGGGGGTGTGCCACGCTTAGTCTGGTATGCGTTTGCCGCTACGACGCTCTACGATTGTGGAACACATATTACGACGACCTTCAAAGATATTGAACGGGATGAAAGACTCGGTATTACTACCACTCCCTTGCAATTAGGAATCAAGCCAGCCCTCGTCTGTGCTGCTCTATCGACCATACTATCCTTTATCGTCGCCGTGTTGCCACACTGGCTTGAGGGGGTAAGTTGGCACTACACCCTATGGGTCGTCTTTGCGTTGCTTGCAACGAGTATCACCCGGCTGCCCCTTTACCTAAATCCGACTGAGAAAAACGGTTATCGCGCACTGAAGGGCTCGATGGTGGGTGCCATCATGTTTTTCCCCTGCCTCATCGGCGTTCAGATCTCCCTGTGGGGTTCTGCACTTGTGATTTTACCGATGCTGCTTGTGACGTTGACCTTGTTAGAAGTAACGAAGCGGGAAGTGTAATGTGTTATGCGTTGTATTCGGCGGAATTGACAATAGATATGTAAAACCTAGCAATACTGGAGGAGTCAATGGAAACTGACAACCCAAAACTCAAACGGAAACTATTTCACCTTGATGTACTTATTGAAAAACAGACAGACTGTTATACTACCCACTGTTTGCAATTGGATTTGGTCACTGATGGCGATACAAAGGCAGAGGCAGAAGCGATGATTGTTGATGCGATTTCTGAGCAAATCACTTTTGCGATTGAAAACAACTTAATGGATAATCTTTTTCAACCGGCTGCCCCGGCAGAGTGGCGGAAGCTTTTGTATAGCAATCATACAAAAACAGTGACCTTAGATTCGGAAGTTGCTCCTCCTCTGATTTCTAAGATTGATTTTACCGAAGATGAATTCTATAAAACATAAACAAGTTGAGGATTAAAACCTATGACCGATATTCCAAAAATATATGCACCACACGACATCGAAGAAAAATGGTACAAATTCTGGCGGGACAAGGATTATTTCCATGCCGCCGATACCTCCGATAAGCCCCCCTACTCGGTTGTGATTCCGCCCCCGAATATCACGGGGAGCCTACATATCGGGCACGCACTCGATAACGCCTTACAGGATGTGCTGATCCGTTGGAAACGGATGCAGGGTTACAACACGCTCTGGATGCCGGGGACAGATCATGCAGGAATCGTCACGGAAATCATCATGGAGAAGCAGCTCGCCACTTGGGGAACAAGCCGTGAAGAACTCGGACGCGAAAAGTTCATCGCACGGATGTGGAACTGGAAAGATGAATCTCGCGGGACAATCATTGATCAGTTGGAGCAACTCGGCTGTTCCTGCGATTGGGAGCGCGAACGATTCACGATGGATGAGGACTCTCCAAAGCCGTCCGCACCGCATTTGTTCAACTCTATGACGATGGTTTGATCTATCGCGGGGAATACATGGTCAACTGGTGTCCAAACTGCCAAACGGCGGTTTCCGATCTTGAAGTCGAGCCGGTTGAAATTGACGGTAACTTCTACCATATCAAATATCCGATTAAAGATTCAGAGGAATCCGTTGAAATTGCGACAACGCGCCCGGAAACGATGCTCGGCGACACAGCAGTTGCTATCCACCCGGAAGATACGCGCTATCAGCACCTCATCGGCAAAACGGCGGTCCTACCGATTCTTGGACGTGAACTCCCGATCATCGCGGATGAGTATGTCGATCTGGAATTTGGCACGGGCGCATTGAAAGTCACACCCGCTCATGATCCAAACGACTACGAAATCGGTCAACGACACGAACTTGAGCAGGTCAATATACTGAATCCGGACGGAAGCTTGAATGAGAACGCGGGAACGAAGTATCAAGGCATGGATCGGTTTGAATGCCGTAAGGCGTTGGTCGAAGATCTGCGTGAACAGGGGCATCTGATCCAAATTGTACCACACCCCCATGCGGTCGGACATCATGATCGGTGCAATCAGATTATTGAACCGTACATCTCGCCACAGTGGTATCTGAATGTCAAACCGCTCGCTGAACGCTCACTCGAAGCTGCAAGACGTGGCGATGTGGTGTTCCTCCCGGAGCGTGAGACCAAGCGGTTTTATCAATGGATGGAAAATATCGAGCCGTGGCCCATCTCCCGTCAACGCTGGTGGGGACATCAACTCCCAATCTGGCACTGCGACGCCTGCGAAGGGCTCACGGTGGCGGTAACTCCTCCTTCTCAATGCGCTCACTGCAATTCTGAGAAGATTCGGCAAGACGAGGAGGTGCTCGATACATGGTTCAGTTCGGGACTTTGGCCCTTCTCAACGATGGGTTGGCCCGATGAGACAGAAGCACTCAAGACATTCTACCCAACCTCCGTCCTAGTAACGGGTTGGGATATCCTCTTCTTTTGGGTAGCTCGAATGATTATGCTCGGTCTCCAGTGTATGGACGAGGTGCCGTTCCAGTATGTATATCTCCACGCCCTAGTTGCTGACGAGCATGGACAAAAACAGAGCAAGTCGAAAGGTAACGCCATCGATCCCGTGCCAACCATCCACCAATACGGTGCCGATGCGTTCCGTTTCGCGCTGGTATTTTCCGCTGCGCCGAATCCATATATCGCCTTGGCTGAATCCCAAATCGAGGCGGGGAAACGGTTCGCCAACAAGATCTGGAATGCTTCGCGTTTGCTACTGATGAATCTCGACGACTTTCAGCATGGGCAGCCGACGGATCTTATCTTGTGCGATCAGTGGATCCGCAGCCGCTTTAACGCAACCGTGGAAACAGTGACTACATGCCTTGAGGAGTTTCGTTTTAGCGATGCAGCCCATGCACTCTATGAATTTCTCTGGCACGAATTTTGTGATTGGTATGTTGAACTCATCAAGCAGCGTCTCTACTATACCGATGATCCAACGGCGAAGCACACCGCACAAGCGGTCTCCTCTGAGATTCTCGAAGGCACGATGCGAATGCTGCACCCAATTATGCCGTTCATTACAGAGGAGATCTGGCAGCGACTCCCCCACGAAGGTGATAGCATCATGGTTGCCCCTTGGCCCAAGCCACAGGCAGCTGAAACGGATGCGAAGGTGGAAGAAGGCGATGCAGACAATCATGGACGTTATCGATGGCATCCGCAGCGTCCGTGGTGAAATGAACGTGCCGCCCTCCAGCGAGGTTGAAATCCGGATTCAAACTCCGAATCCGGAAACGGCTGAACTGCTCACTAAACATTTGGAGGAATACCTGCCGGCGTTTGGGCGTTTCTCACAAATCTCCATTGCTGAACATCAGGAGAAGCCTGATGCCGCCGCCGTAGCGGTGATTAATGACACCGTTATCTATATTCCGCTTGCGGGAATCATCGACATTGAAAAAGAGAAAGACCGCTTGCAGAAACGATTGGACAAAGTGCTCAAAGAACTCACCGGCACCCAGAAAACGTTAGACAATCCGAAGTTCGTTGACCGCGCCCCGGAAGCGGTTGTCGAGCAGAAACGTACCCGACTCGCAGTCCTTGAATCAGAACAGGAGAAGTTAGTAGCGAATCTGGAGATGTTGGGTTGAGACGCAAACCAACATCAAGTTGCAAACCGAATCACAGATGAAATGGAGGACACGGAGAAACGTGGAAAGGAACGCAAAGTCGCAAAGAGGCAAAGTCGCAAGGGAGATTTTAAAAATTCTTCTTAGCGTCTTAGCGTCCTTGCGTTGAATTTAACAACATCTAGTCAAGAACATTAGCACTGCAAACGAGGATTGAAATGGCAACAATCGAGCGAGATTATTTCGACGCGAAAAAGTTAAGGATTGTCGTGGTAGGCGCGGGGATTGTTGGAGCATCAATAGCCTATCATCTGTCGCGCCGCAAAGATGTTGCCGTGACCGTCCTTGAGCGGGATGAACTGTGCGCAGGAGCGTCGGGACATTCCTTTGCATGGCTGAATTCCTTCGGCAAAGATCCCGTGAGCTATCACCATTTCAATCGCCGGTCAATGGACATCTGGGATCGATTTGCTCGCAGGCTGGGAGGGGATCTCGACCTGCATTGGGGTGGTGAACTTCGGTGGGAAAGTACGCCGGAGCGAGCAGGGGCGTTGCAGCAACGCATCAAGCAGCTACAGGCGTGGGGGTATCCCATCCGCATCATTTCGAGCGATGAACTCCGCGAACTTGAACCTGGTATTTCCCCTGGTCCCGTGACGACAGCCTCTTTTTCGGAGATTGACGGGCGAGTGGATCCACTCAAGGTGATTGAAGCCTGTTTACAACGTGCGTGTGAAAGCGGAACTGTGGTTCATACCCAGACCCCGGTCACCGAACTATGCCTCGACGGGGGAGGAAAGATAGAAGCGGTCAATACCCCCAGCGGAGAAATCAGTTGTGATGTGGTGGTATTGGCGAACGGGACTGCTGTAACAGAACTCGCCGCCACCGCCGGCGTCCACATCCCGCAGCAGTACAGTCCCGGTGTGGTGATTCGCACCGATCCCACAGCCACCGATACTACACAACGTTTCAGTGCTTCACTTACCACCCATTGACAAAGACCGACATGAAATTCATCTGCGGCAATCCGCCGACGGGACGCTTGCCATCGGTCAAGGCTCGCAGGAAAGCGTAGACCGAGACGACTCCCAAGAACACGCGGATGCCCTGTTAAGTCGCGCCATCCACTACCTGCCAGCCCTTGCCGGTGCACGAGCGATTCCAACGCCAGTGGGCTACCGTCCGATGCCAATTGACGATTGCCGGTCCTAGGATTTTGTGACGCGGCACCGAATCTGTATATCGCTTTGATGCACAGTGGGGTCACGTTGGCACCTTTGGTGGGAGAATTGGGGACAATAGAAATTGTTGATGGTGCTCGCGTTGAAATGCTTGCTCCGTACCGTCCGGAACGGTTCATAAGTAAATAGCAAGTTGCTTTGAATCCCAATTCTTATCGGGGACAATAGAAGGTTTCAGCAGTCTCCGCTACATTGCTGGCAGCTTTCTCTGCCAATCATAAGAAGTCACCAAATTGAAAGAGGTTAAATATGATTCAAGTGAAGGAACAGCTAGAACAGTGCTTGGACAAATTTCGCGCGGGTACGCTGACGGAGCAGGATCTGCAGCAGGCGTTGGAAAACATCAACGGTGAACTAGACGCAGCGGCAAAGCCCCAACGCCTGTTATATCTTCAAGCCACCAATACGTCAGTTACTTCGTCGGTTGAGGGGTATGTCAATCGTGGATAGTGACGGCGTGCACAACGGTCCCGACGAGCCTGAAGATTGGCCCTACCAGACTGTGCATGAGGCGATGCTCGACGGTTGGCGTATCGTCAAGTTTCCCGAAATGACACTGATGCTGGTAGGGGAAAACGAGACCTATGGACTCGGCTGCGAATTTATCCTCGAAAAGTGAACCCACGATCATAGAGCGAACTTCTAACTCACTTCCACGAAAGGATTTTACCGATGATTGATCAAACATACGATTGCGAACCGACGCTAACAGACCAACAGGTCATCGAATTTTGTCAGAAGGGGTTTATCATCCTCGAAGGCGTGGTGCCAGATGAGGTCAATCGCCGCGTCTCGGATTTTCTGGATGAGCACACTCACTTAGAACCGGTCGAAATCCTCGCTGAAGACTGGTTCGTCGAAGGCTTCTCAAAAACCCGCAGGCGGCGGGTGCGGTACGGTCGCTTCTGGGAAAAACTTCAAGCTACCGATGATTATGAGCAACCACCGTGTCGAGTGCCCCAAGACTCTGAGTTGTGGCTGGCATCGGGACGGCGGTGCTATCGACGCAACACGGCTCGATTTCTACAGGTGTTTTACTACCCCCAAGACACACCGAAAGAGATGGGACCGACCGAATTGGTGCCAAGCTCACACTTAGTCCGCGCCAAACGCCGCTTCATGAGTCACTACGGCAATATCCGAAAGGGCGTGAAAACGGTGGCACCGGCGGGCTCAATTTTTATCACGCACTACAGCATTTGGCACCGCGCCACCTCCTCTACCGGCAGCGGCATCCGCAATCTGCTTAAATACAACTATTGGCGGACGGTCCCACCGCAACGGGACTGGGTAGTAGATCCCTCTACTGACTTTATGCAGACGCCGTTCATGCCAGATGTTTCAGTGCTTGAAAAGTGGTACGACTCCATCCACGTCGCGCGGTTGTTCCAGTGGTTGTGCGGCCTCGGCGATGATTTCGAGTTCAAGGGGGGCCAATCTTGGCCCATTACTGCTGGCAGCGGCTATAACACGACCGAGGGCTTACCGCCCGGACTGGCTTGATACATCATAGAAAGGAGCATTGACCGATGCAACCAACACAGCAGACCTCAGCAGCAGAGCTGCCCTCAAAGCTAGCCGCCGAACTGAGCCTTACGATAGTCGAGAAGAACGAGCACAAGCGATGGAACGCGATGGCTTTGTTTTTCTTCCCGCGGTTCTTAGCCCCGAACAGGTTCAAGAATTGCGCGAATGTTCTGATCGCATCCAAACTGTTGCAACACCGAGATGGGATTTTATCGATCCCAACGGCAGCGGGATTAAAACCATCCAGAATGCGTTTAACCGAGATCCGCTCTATCTTGAATTCCTAGACAAACCGGGCGTTATCGAACTGGTCGAAGATACTCTGGGCGAAGACTGTCATATCATCCAGATGACCCAGTGGAACACAGGGAAGCGAGAGGAACAGAAAATGCACGCGGACTGGAAGCCGATTCTGCTGCCCGATGACGTGGCGATTGATCCGCGGGTCAAGATCCCAGCACTGATTATGACCGCCCACTTTTATCTGGATGACATATACGAAGCCCTTGGACCAACACGCGTCGTTCCCGGCAGCCACCGGGCAGGTATAAGCCCTGAACGGGATCAGGAGAAGTGGAACGACGCGGAGGAGCAATCGATCCTCTGTAAAGCGGGTGACGTGATTGTCTTCAGGAGCGATGTGTGGCATCGAGGCGGCGCCAATCGTACCGATCAGGTTCGCTATCTGCTGCAAGTCCATTACGCGAATCGGTGGATCGCCCAGCGATTTCCACCTTTTCTGAGTTTTCAGTTTGACCCGGAAATTCTATCGAAAGCAACGCCGCGCCAGCGACGATTGTTGGGGGAACATCGCCCAGGACCCTTTGCTTGAGAGAGTAGTATCCGTGCAATAGTGTTAAAACTTCGCACGGTTTTTAGTCAGGGAAATGCTTTCACGGTCAACATTGCAGCAACACCGGTTGTCAGAATACAGAAAGACAGCATGGCAGAATTCGATATTGTTTCCAAACAACTTGTTAAAGATTACCCCGCGGACTTCGTTCGGTTCACGTTTGAACAAGCGAACGTCGAAGTTCTGGAAGTCATTGACACCGAGCAACCCACTGTTGAGTCCCGATCAATGGATAGCCTCATACGGGTACGAATTCATGGCGAGGAAGCATTGGTGCATAACGAATTTCAAACGGGGGACAGCACGAACCCGCCAATGCCACGCCGAATGGTGGGATATATTGGTCGAGCGATTGAAAGCTACGGACTTCCCATCTATTCCAACGTCATCTATCTTCGTCCGGATGCCGGACAAAGAGATGCGGGACAGTACGTGCAGGAGAGGGGTGGGTATCATATCGTCATCCAGTACAAGGTCATAAGATTGATCGAAATTGAAGGGCAAGCGGTTATCGAGCAAGAACTCTGGGGACTGCTTCCTTTCGCACCACTGATGAAACCGCCTCAAGGAATGGTCGCCGCACAGTGGTTGCGGCGATGTGTTCAAACCGCAAACACCCTCCCTTTGGATCACACAAACAAATCAAATTTTTTCACGGACATCGCTATCCTCAGCGGGTTAATTCACAATTCTCAAACCATTACCAATATCATTTCGGAGGAAACCATGTACGAATCATCTATTGTCCAACACTTTACCGAAAGAGGTATTCAACAGGGACAAAGACAACAGAGCATCGAATATGTCCTTGACGTTTTGGAGATTCGATTTCATCCAAGTGAGGCTGAAACCTTAAAGCCGGCTATTGAAACAATTGAGGATTTGCAACATCTCAAGCAGTTATTTCGTTCGGCCGTGCAGGCACCAAATCTTGATGAATTCAAACGGACTCTAACTTCAATGACCAATGGGAACTAAGATGGTGTACGAATCAACCATTGTGTATAGCACATTCGGTTGAGTATGGCAGTGTGGATTTATGGTGGACCTTAGAATTAATGAGACACTCCAAACCGGTGCGGTTAGGATATCACACCTACCGTTCTCCCGTTTGGTAGGCACTGTTTCCAACTGTGCCTATGCGGCGCGGTTAGGAAACCGCACCTACCGGGGGGCGAAAGTGTCTATTTATTTTTAGAATTCACCATAGTTTTTGATAACAGCGAATATAAGAGGGAGTACGTATGGCTTTCAGGTATCGTCTGGGAGTAGACATCGGGGGGACATTCACCGATGCGACCCTAATCAACGAGGAAACAGGAGAGATCCACGTCGGCAAAGTGCCCTCGACACCCCAAGACCCGTCACACGGTTTCATGGAGGCAACCCACCGTATA